GCACCAAAAATTTCGATCAGACACTTCGAAATGGTTTCAAAAACTTTCTAATTCGTATTCATACTTTTATAAACTGTAAGAAATGTTCCACTGTCTTGAATGTTCTTGAATGTTGAAAAATTTGTGAAGCTAAACAAAAATTTGAAGGAAAAACTGACTATTTGTAAAGGCATCCAATTAGCATGATTTTTTTTCTGAGTTTGGTTAAGCAGGTCATAAATCAAAGCTAGATTTAGGTTCCGTGAACATTTTGGAAATGATAGCTAAATTATTTAGATTTACCGTTTGAGAATCCCTTTTATCACCTTGAATCTTTGCAATATTTGAATAAAAAAGCACTCATAGGAAAGCGTAAGTTTTCCATTTCTAAGTTCGGATGGAAATACAATCAAAGCTGGAAGAGTTACAAGTTTGAAAGAGATATGAACCAAAAATGAGCGAGAGAAATTATCTTTTTTTATGTTATCAATAATGATGGTTCATTAGACTGTATACGAAAACTTCAGGCATTTTTACAGAGATTTCCGCGGTTGCTTAGGCGAAGATTAGATTAGCACCTGGCGATGGAAAGCCAGTTTCGATGCATCTGAATCAACTACTCTGGGAAGCATTCATTGGTGGTCAATGAAACGAAAAATGGACAGAACATTTTGGGCGCATAAAATTTCTAGGTTCAACGGGGCAATCCTACTGATTCTAAAAAAAAATTTGAGATAAAGATTCAAGATTGATTCTTTGCTCTCAACTGAGTATTATTCCGCTCTTGGGACGACTTTTGCGGCATCGAGCTTTGTGAAATGCGAATGAAACGATTTGACATAAAACCGATCCATTTCATCGTTTAAGGCGAAAAAAGTAGCTGATCGCCCTACGTCACTGCGGGAGACAATTCGAAGTGCGTTACGATTCATCCGTGAATTTGTGGCGATTAGAACGCAGAGCCAGCTTCATGGTTTAGGAATGCGGTTTGAATTTGGGAATTGAGTTAATGGTTGGGGTTTTTTTTTGCATTTGATTTGTTTATGAAGACAAAACTATCAACAAGATTTCGTATCAAGAACAATTCTCACTTTCCAATCGAATTAAGACAGTATTTGGACGAGAATGTATGAATTTGTTCTCTATGTATGAACTGATTCATACGAGTCTGTGTTAGGGTGCAGTTGAGCACGGGTGGAGGACTAAATATCGCCGAAAGTGGAAGGTCCCGCAGGACATCTCCTACAAACACAGACTCCAGTACATGCACAGGCTGAGTATTTACTGCATTGCCCGCGCGCGACACTCCCTCTTTTGGCGACTATAGCCCTCCACGCCTAGAGGATAGCAAACATTTCACTCAGACAGCTTTGTTAAAATACTTTATTTTGTTTCCATGTAAAAAAACTTGGTTTCAAAGAGGGATTATGTAGTTATTTTCTAGAAAAATGCAAAACAGAATTCGAATATGAGGTTTTTGAGAAGTAACCATAGTCAGATCATAGTCCCATAAGCACTATGCAATAACATGCTTATCTGTCCGTACTACTTTTGTTTTTGCTTCAAAACAAAGCCAAAAAAAATTTTGGCATTCGAAAAATTGTTGTTCGCGACATGGTGATGCGGTCATTTTGAAGGTTTTTTTGTCAAACGCCTTCTAGCTCTTTTTGAATCCCTGTTTCCTCGAAAGCCTGACCTGTGAGTTGTAGCTCTTAGAGAGCTCTATCATCGTCACTTTCTCAGCTTTGTTTTCCAACTGCCAATAAACAATGAAAATACGAGGGCGACTTGCCCGCAATTTTTTGCCGATCTCTTTTTATGTTTTACACTTTGCAAAAGAAGGAAACCAAATAGGGTGTTCTTGCATACATATATGCAACCTATACATAGTCTCTAAAGCATATGAAAGTCCACAATTATTGAGCAGGACCAAGCATGAGGCTGCCAGATGAGATGGGAAACCGGAAACCGCTTTAAAAAAGGGAGAAGTATTCGAGGTCTAATAAATAGCCCCAATAATAACCCCATTTTTGGGAAGAATACATGCTTGAATTGAAAGAAAGAAACAAAAAGTAAAATGGTATTATCTTTTTGTTGATGGCTGACGTTTTGACGTCCTTGCCGAAATGCCAAGATTTTAAGAAGGTCGAACCTTTGAAATATAAAAAAAGTAAAATGGTTTCTTCATCATCAACTTGTAGCATTTTCTTCCAGAGCTTTTGAACCTGATTATCAGGTTCCGTAATCAGGAGGCAATTCATAAAACTTTACAGCGCGATTAGAAGACTTTCTCTCAGAATTGGAGGTCCAATTACCGTCCTTCGGTCGACCCTTGCTAGATCGATTCAGTTAGTTGAAATATCTTTTCTATGACCACGATACAAAATGCGACGTACATTGTAAGATGGCTTTCTGTGGTTCTTCAAGTGTGAAAACATTTTCTGCTTCGCAATAAAAGGGCGGATTTGGGATCAGCGCTTTTCATGCCCCTGAAAAGATGCATTTTTTGTTCACCACAAATGGAGTCTGAGAGTCTAGTTGCAGATATTACTTCCTCTTGCTATGTATAATAAGAGAATTTGAGGCACTTTGGGTAGTCTGGTCTAAAAAGTTGACATTATCTGCTCTTGTTTATCCAGTGAACCCGAGTTCTTACTTAAATGGTACTGTATATCCACAGAATGTGAGTAAGATCTTCCTTATAAAAAATTGATATTAGTTCCAAGAAGTATACAGGAGGACGGAAAGGCAACTGACAGTCAGATGCTAGCTTGATAATCACTAAAAATTATTTATACTTCCAAGCAATGATAAGCGCATCAGAAAGTGAAAAGAACGGTAAGATCAATATGGACAATCGCGGATTTCGCTTTCATCTCCCGGCTAGGAAATGGGCGTGTCGCGATCGAGGCGCTATCCAGTTGCGCTTTGTCTTCTAATCAACTATCACCGTCCTGTCGTTGTTGGAAGAACGCGGGGGCGATGAGTTAGGGCGGGTCAACCCCGCCGCTGAACCCGCGGAAGCTGTCCGATGCGCGCAATGATCGGGAAGCGAGCGTTTTTCTTCGTGAAAAGTGAAAATTTTGCAAATAGGGGATTATTTTGTTGAAGGAGGGGGAGGGGGGGGGGAGATGTGAGTGTTTCAACCAAATTCATAAATTTGTGGTGGGATGTTTAATGCTTGAGCAGACATTTTTTTTTTGAGGGATATGGTCCTCAAATAAAGATCAGCCATTGCATTCATATTATTCTTTGAATTTTGTCAGAAATATGAAACTAGAATTAATCACAGCGTTTCATTCCAGCAAAAATTCCCAGCGAAAACTCTTACTACCAGTGAAAAGTTAAAAGTTGCTTTAAGCAAGTAAATCCTTTCCTTTATCAAAAAAAAAACACTGGTCTTCACTGACAATCCTGGCACCAATATCAGTCTCGCATGCTGAAAAAATCAAAGTCTATTATCATATTCATTGACTGTAAATCATAAATCATCATGGACTGACATTTTTCAAAAGCATTTGTAGATTAAGTTTGAAATAAGCATACAATTACAACAAACAACTCAATGTCGAAAAGGTTGACGGTATGTACGCCATGTAATAGATTGGCACGTAAGTTTTGCAACTTATTTTTTAACTTTTCTCTTTCTGATTGAGATGCATTCATATTTGGGCATAATCTAGAATAGATACTAGGCTACAATACTACGCAAACAATTTGATTTTTTAGCGAAATGGAGGAATTTTACTCATTTTTTACAATATGGTCAGAACCGAAATTTCAAAGGTCGGATAACCAAAAACAAAGCCATTCTTAGTCTGAATCAAACAAATCGAGCTGAAATGGTGTAGATGATTAGAGGTTCCTCCACCAAGAATCTGGGTACAGTTTCGGCTTGAAGTATTTAATTCGAACTGGGAACGGCTTTATTTTTGGGTTATTTGACCCTTGAAATTCCGGATTTGACCAGCTTCCGAAAAATGAGTGGGTTTTCACCATTTTGAAATCAAAAATCAGACTGTTGACGCTTCTTTGCAGCCTACTACCTCTCTACATTATGTCCAAAATTGGATGCGTTACAATCGATAAGAGAAAAGTTACAAAAAAGTTGCAAAACTTATGTGCCAACCTAATAGATAGGCCTGCTTTCTAGAGGCTTTGATTTTTCGTTTGAAGATTTAGTTTCAAAATGGCTTCAGTCATAATCTCTTGGAAAGCTTTTCCGCATCTCGGATTTTTTTGCTTTTGATTCTTGCCTTAGCGCTTTAGCTGCGCCAAGAAGTTGAACCACATAATTTTGAAATCAAATTCAGCTCCAAGTTTTGGTGGACTTCGTCTTTACATATATAACCGGGCAAATTGCAGCAGTTATTACGGTATTGTTAGCATATTTGCCAATTAGTGGACTGAGTGGGTTCACAATCGGAAAAGCTAAGTGAACACAGATTTAGTACATGATTCACACTGTAAGTTTTTCAATCTTAAGCAAAGCGACAATCTTTTTGCGCTTGGATGTGGGCTTTTTATTGCTTGGGACCTTCCTGAACGTCTCCGCACTATTCCAAACTAGATTGGACCCTTCTGAAGCAGATGGGTCCCCGCTGACTCTTTGATCAGTTTTAAATATCTTGCCAACACTGATGTTTAGAAAAACCCTAAAGGGAGACTTGCAGGGGAAAATCTATCGAAAAAAACCGAATGAGAAGCTAAGGACGCAACTACCAAACTTGTAACGAGTAAATCCTTGCCACTTTTGAGTTCAAGATGCTATTCAAACAAAGACCCGCCGTCTACATTGCCCTAGGACACAGTACTCCCGTTTTCCCACGCTTGCATGAGAAAGCGGAGGCGTGGCCTTATGCTGACCATTAGCGAGGATGACGTCACGCCGCGGCAGCCAATCACAGCCGAGTGCGTCTTGGGTGGTCGGTTTCCCACGCTCGCTTCTCATGGGAAATCGGAGGCGTGGAGAGATGGAAAGCTGCGAAAACCCTGCACAAGCCATGTTATTTCAAATTTTACATCAAGCAGCTGGTGATGAAGCGTTCCGAGGCTCCAATTATTGGAAGAAGGAATTCTGGAGGAAGGAAGGTGGCGCCGAAGATCGAACTACACTTCATCGAGAAGCCGGAGAGAGAGCGAAAGTATCCGAGTCCAACCAATGCTCAGGTGAAGGAGCAGGTAAGTGTTCTTTCATTTGTACATATAAAGAGTAGAGAGCACCTATAAGCTTTTCCGAAGACATCAGTTTCATAGTTTCTCTACAGAATGGAGGCGAAGACTCACATTCAGTAACCTCATTCCCCTTTCGTGTATTTCCTCTTTTCCTCTTTCCTTGCAGATTGTTGGCTTTTCAATAGTAGTCAAAGAAAGCTCGTTATCGAATACACCTGAAGAAAATCAAGTCACTGATAAGTTGAAGAATTATGTCAAAGCTCAGGATCCTAGGAACGCATCTTTGTTATTTATTTTAGCTCAATGTAGATTCTAGTGAAGGGTCGGGGTAGCTATGATATCTGATTGGTATATAAGCGTCAATGTGGTAGGGTTTGGGCAGAATCTTGAAGAAATCGCATTTTTTGGGCGCACTTGGAGACCCGTCATACTTCGTCGAAAGACCAAAAGCGCCCAAAAAGCTCAAAAACCTCGAAAGCGCCAGAAAAAGTTGGAACACCCCTGGAACTTTTGGTGGATCTGACATCATTTTGAAGCCCAGACGACAGAAAATGAAACAAATTGACTCGATTGCAAAATCAACACGCATGCATTAGTTTGGGAGACGGTCAAGAGGCGCGATTTCTCTGGCTGTCACCAACTTAAAACTCCAGTTTAGTGCTATGCGAGTCTTCAAAAATTACCGTATAAAGTGCATTAGCTTACTATCCGTCTGAGGTCACCACTTGCTGAGTTTCATGGTTTTTGCTATAAATCGGACTGAAAGATTCACGAATTTGTTCTGAATTGCATTTTCATGAGTTTTTGACCTTCAAAATTGCTCTTTTGAATTTTTTCTAGAGCATCAAGATTGCACAACTCATGCAACTGTCTGATATATCTTCTTCCAAATTTCATATAACTTTAGAAAGTTGCAAAACATTTATTATTTGCTATTTGGTGTACAGCTGGCAATAAAAATCGCGCCTCTTGACATACACCCCATTAGTTTGACGCTAATGCTAACCTTGAGCGCAAAAGAGGGTGTTCCGGCTCCTTCGGGCTTTTTGGGTGCTTTTGGGCTTTTCTCGGCAAAGTATGACAGGTCTCTTAAAGTTTTTGTTGAGGGGAAAGACCCATACAATCGTATCAATAACTGAGGTTAGTAGGCTCTGCCCGTACGCTGCCTTTGGCACCGTTCGCTTGATCCACTTGTTTCCTTCATATATTTCGTTATTGGTCGAAGTGAACTGACCAATAGCGGATCAAGTGGACATCCGCTCTGCTTTCGCCAGTTTTAGGCCTAAGGCATACCTCACGCGATTTAGACGCCGCGCGATTTGACACTGCAACGACTCTCCATAGCTGGTCGTAAACGCTCTTTGCTTGGGCCAGACTTGCTGCGTTTGTTACAATCTACGGAATCTACACACCCATGCATCTGAGAGCCTCGCATGCAAAATCTCTAGACATCTGGCGAATCGCCAAGTCGCGAGAATGTGGCGATTTCGCGAAATCGCGAGAGGTATGCCTTAGGCCTTACTGATTTGACAATTTGCGATGTGGATCAATTGGATTGAGCGGAACCAGTGTTTCACGTGCCTTTGGAGTGCGGTTTCAGGTAGGGGAACGATCTCCGCCAATTTGAGCCCTCCTTCGCTGGCAACTGGTGCTTTTGCTATATTGTTGCATGCCCTTGCAGGACCAGTAGTCCGCGGAGGTGGTTCAGACTGAGGGGTTTCCCTACCCTGCGGTTTCTACCACAGTTTTGTACATCTCGTTGTATTCCTTACAATTTGGCCCTATACTGTAAACCTACCCTGATTCCTTGAGAAGGGCTCTACATGCGAAAGAGCTGTGGTAGTCGTCATCAGCATGATCCCTTATACCAAACTTCAGCTAAATTTGTGTTTGGTCCTTGCCGTATACCCACCGTAAGATGGATTAATTGGTTGTGTTGTGTGGGCACACCACAAGACTCCTCATGCAAAGTTTCTTGATCAACCATGTCAAAATAATTCATGCGGTGCTGATGTTTTGCCGCCAAATTTGCGCGTTAACAAATAGCCACGCCAGCAATGCCTGTATCATGCGCGCGCAGGTTGCCGGCATTACAGGTGTAGCTACTTGTTCACGCGCACATTCGGCAGAAAAATCTTGGCACCGCAAGCACACGATACTGCGTGGAAAATCTACTAGACTCTACATTTTTGCATTTCTTTGACGATTCTAGAGTTGGTATGTGATTAATCGTGATTTAGGAATGTTCCAAATCTAATAATGTGGTGAACAGGGGCGATTTCGGCATTGGAGAACTAGCTGAGGTTGGTCTAAACATCTTGATAAAAGCAAATCTAGATATTGCAGGAATTTGCAACACTGGCCGCCTGGACTCCTCCGCCAACTCCAGCTTCTCCACTAAGTTCATCAAATAGCAGTAATGGTCATTTGCCTACTAGAGCTTCGGTAGTGGAGTCCATTACGAAGGGTATCGCCAACCTCGTCACGACAGAGACTACTGCTGGACGATGGCAGAATCTAGGCATTGCGAACGCGGTGTCATTAGCCACAGAGCGAATGGGGCGCGGAACTACAACAGTGAAAATACGCGCGCGCCGCGTTCGCGCACGCTCAAATAAGGCAGCCATACTCGTTCAGCTTAATCCACTTCATCCAGTTCACTACTGGTCAGTTTACTAGATTGACCAATGACGAAGCGGATTAAGCGATCAAGTGGATTGAGTGGAACAAGTATGGCGCTCAACTGCTTCTGCGCCTTCGTCCAGCAGTAGTCCTTAGCTGTTCGCAATACTATTATCTCAGCTTTGTGCCGTAACAACGCTCCTCCTCCGGCTCAGTTCGTAGAACCGACCGTCAACACCTCGAATAATGTGGAAAGACCTCAGCAGAACATTTTGGCGCAAGTTTTGCCATCGAATGGTGCAAACACCAACGTCCATGCACCATTGACGTCTACCGTCACCACCACCACCACCAGCAGTGCGGCCAACAGCAACCACCTTCTGTCGCCATCGACCACGGTGAGCAGCTTCAGCGGTGGTGTACAGCCACTGTACCGAGCACCAATGCTGCGTCGCTCTCGGCTCGTTCGGCGCTACCAGTACTGGTGCCGAGTTCTGGAAATGGTTGGTGGGCTCTTTGAGTCAGACATAACTATACGGTAGCGTTTTGCAGAGACGTCGTCGCCCTATGTGTCGTTTCTGCTACGAGCGCTACGTTCATATGTGTTTGGATTCGCATCAGACAATTCCGTCAGCGTACGATCGCGGAATGTGGCATGGACATAGCATGAAAGAGCGCGGGCTTGTTACGTGGGTTTCGAGAAATTTTGCATTTAGCGCTGAATATAAGGTGCTTGCGGTACGAAGATTATGAAGATTGTACGGCAAAATTTGGGCGTGGTTAAACAGCTACGCCTGAATTGCCGGTAATTTGCGCGCGCAAGTAGCCGGCATTCCAGGCGTGGCTATTTGTTCACGCGCAAATTTCAGGGCAAAATTCGGCAACGCATTATAAGGAGCGGAAAATTGCTAAACTATAAAAGTTTAATGAGGGCGATTTGAGCGTGTGCAGTGGCCATAGAGCGTACATTCCCAAGTTTTGGTAACTATCATCATTTGTTTGCAAATGTTGTCGGCACCCGCAGAGGCACTATATGAATCGTCAAATTTGCTAGACTATATACTAGTTCTCAAAAAAGTGGCAGAGCGAATATTTTGAGGCACAGCGCTTGGAAACGATGTTTTTTTTTAATGAGATTAATGAGAAAAATATGAAGGAACTTTTTCTAAATTGAGCATACGTAACAAAATGGAGTTTTCTTTGAATCAATAATATGTTCTACTAGCTGGCTTACTCGGCTCCGCCGTATGTTCCGAATAGAAAATTCCATTTCTGAACCGATCGGGACCAAACTTGGCACACATACACTTCGGGCCCCGGCGGGTGTCACAGTCCATTTTCGTTATCGATCGTTGTCGATTTTATCGATTTTTTGCAAAATTTGAGCTAGGGGGCTGGAATTTGGCAGGGGGGTGTAATCGAGCATGGTAGCCTGTGACACCCGCCGGGGCCCGAAGTGTATGTGTGCCAAGTTTGGTCCCGATCGGTTCAGAAATGGAATTTTCTATTCGGAACATACGTACAGACAGACAGACAGACAGACATACAGACAGACATACAGACAAACAGACATTCAGCTTTATATATAAAATGAGTTATCTAGCGGATTCAAAACTCTAGAGTCTCCAAAATGATTTTGGAGTTAATTTTAGGTGTCCGCATCTTTGGGCCACCGTTTGTCCCCACTGTGGAGCAAGCAAGCAGTTTGCCCATACCGAAGACTACTGTCCACTAGTGCGCAGAAATTTTCTGTATCCACAGACTAGCAATCGTGATTTCCAACGCACCGATCCAACACCAAGTAAGTATTATTCCAATTATGTTTAGTAAACGCAATGCAGTAGTTGTCACACTCTATTCTTGAAAACGCTAAGTCAACTATATCTGCAATTGCAGAAATTGACGGGAACCTTTAAATAAGAGATTGAGATTTCAGATTTCTGAAGGCGAACTTCTCCTGTCGATTACGACCCAATTTATGATACGGTACTACACATAACCATGGAGTTCGAAGAAATTCACTGTTATTCACTGTTATTGAAGCAGCGGCTATACTTATCCTATAATCCAGCTCCGGTCTAATCAGGCTCGCTAAACTGCGCGCAGAGAAAGTTGGAGGCGGCCAAGTTCTCAAAGTTATGCATAGAGCATAACAAGCGTTGCGTAAGTCTTTAGGGAGTGATGTTCTAGTGATCAAATGTGTTTCGACTAAAATTCTCGATCTGTAACTTTTGCTGCTGTGGAGCGAGGCACTTCGGATCTGGAACAGGATAAGTATAACCTTACCTATTGAAATTTTTCTATTGAAATTTAGTTGCTTTACTAAGGATGTTACATGTGAGCTTTGGTAACGATGAGTCAATATATTTGTAAGCAGTTTTGTTTGTTCTAAATGCTAGTAGTATATCCTAAGTAATAAGCATGTTATCACACCGGCTGTTATATGATATAATATTTGTGATTACCTCACTGGAAATGAAGTTGTTACCGCGGACTGGAACAACTTGGAAAAGCAGTTTGATAAGCAGCAAACTCATTTTCTTACCAATTTTCATTTTTTTTTTGGTTTTTTGTTTAAAATAAAATACAGGTTTAGATTCTTTATAAATTCGTGACGGCGAAACAGGCATCACCTCAACTCTCAGCTCAGTCACTTCCAATGTCGATAACAGTTGATTAGATTTTCTGCTCAATATTGTGTGCTTGCACTGCAAGTAAAATGCGGTAGAATTTGCGCGTGAACAGATAGCCACGCCAGTGATGCCGGCATTCTGCGCGCGCATTTGGCCGGCAGCTATTTGTTCACGCGCAAATTTTAGCGCATTCGACCTGCAGTGCAAGCACACTTATTAAGCAGAAGATCGACTCGCTTGTACAATTATGAACATATCAAGCACTTTCAAGCTTGTTTAGACAATGGGTGCGAAGCGATGTCGATTCTGTTAGTCTCAGAATGAATGATAGATATGAAAACACCTACTGACTTCCAAATAAGCATTTTCAGCATCCAGTCCCATCCAGTCATCAAAAACATAGTCAAAATCAGTAGTGTACTTTGAATCAGGTCGTTTGACGTTCGCAAAATGCCCTTCTGAACCTGCGGTCGAAATTTTGGCACTACGTCTCGATTGGTCTTGGTTGTTGTTGTTGTTGTTGTTGTTAACAACAACAACAATTGTTGGTTCTTGGTTCTTTTTTTTTGTTCCGCACTGCGGAAAGAATTATATTCAGCTAATTAATCATGAGTCCTCGGAAGCATCTAGGAAAGAGTTACATTTTGGTCGCATAGTGCCGATGGTCTACTGTTGATGCAATCCAGTCATTTATTTCTTGCAATAGTAAAATTTACCAGTTCGCCTTACAACGTTACAAACATCCAATATCCCAATCGAGCTTCGCTTTTCGTAGCTTTCTAAAAAATATTGACAGGTGTCCTCTGCGTTTCTTTCAACAAAAAAAAATAAACAAACTAGTACGCTGGCTAACACTCTTTCTGCGATACATGTGTCTGCAGAAAGCGGAACAGTACAGAAGGTGCCAGGTACCCTACTCGTAAATAAGGTTCTTATGCTCGTCGATTAAAGAGGTCATTGTACGCGATGTCGACGTACTTCGGACTTTGTGCCGCGGTAAACGCCTGGCTATGGTTGGATAACAGTGTCGGCTCTTTCTTAAACTTCTAACCTCTAAAGAAGAGGTTTCTGAACATTTTTCTACTTTTTGCATCACCTTTATCAAACAATCCTTGATATTTTCCCCGTGAAGTTCGTTCTGCAATCATTCCTTCTGAATTTTCTGTGTATCTGGTATTTGTGCCATATTTATGACGGATTCCGTGACAGGTTGAGCAATTGAACTATTCTTAGATGTTAATGGTGTCTTCAAGGCTACACTTTTTCCCTGTATACCTCTTCAAAATCCATAGATTGCATCTTTTTTTGTGTAGCACTAATGTCAGAAAAAGCTCATCGTTTGTTGTTATTTCGTTCAATTTTGATGCTCTATAGTTTTTTCTTGATGTGTTCATGCTCATTTATATGCCCTTTTCCTCTGTTTATAAATGAAAATTGTTGAGAAAATCCTGATGATTTGCATTGAGAATAATCGTGTCCCTCTTTCCTTCTTACTATACATAAAGTTTTTGATTTCCTGGGTAATGCTGAAAATCTGTTCATGAGGAGGGAATTCCTCAAAAACAGTTTAAGCTAAGCGGTCATTTATAGCCGATTCATTTCACGCGGGGACAGGGCACCACTGCGGACATGTCGGCGTCTCTTAGATCCAACACACTCTTTACTCCAACTGTCTGCTGTCTCGAAACACACGTACTATCTTAATCGGGCGCAACGGCGTCCACTCTCTGCGTGCGACGATTAGTCTATACACTTCTTTTGCCTGCTTGACAGAACTCGGCAAGTTTGCATCAATGAAGTTAAATCTGCAGTTAAAAAATGCTTATTTTCATTGATTTTATTTATCGGAGACTTCTTAGCTCGGCACATTCGCACAAAGGAATCGATTATAGCGGCGCATTATTTGAGTTGTCCTGGATCTGTATTAATTTTTATTTCTCTGTGTATCTTATCATTGAAGGTGACCTATTTACTTGTCATCTGCAGAGAAAGCTCAATCGTAGCTGGTCGTCCTATCTCTATGCTCTGTTCGTCATTCATTTATCCAAATTTATTTAGACAAACGATCATTCTCATGATATTTCTGGAATGACTGGGCCGTTTTTGCTGTAATCTTCTGCTTGAAGCCACCCACATTTCAATTAAAAATTTCTATTTGAAGAGTTTGACACGCAACTTCCTTGCTTTTTTCTTGCCGTTTGTTGATCGATTGCCACTCCTCATGCTGTACAGTGTCTTTTATTACTCAAGTGTGAGTGTTCGAATCAACTCTTGCTCATTCGTATTCTTATCAGACCGGTAGCTGGGTCAAGGCCAGAATGCTTTCGCGTCTCGCGCAAGGGACTAGGCTTCTTGGTAAGCACCTCAAATAGTTTTTTTGGTTTCGAAGAAAAACTATATGTTCGTGAACAAATTCAGTTTTATGTTGTGTTTTTAATTTTTCATATTTACTATCTAAAGTCTGGCATGCCACTTTCATGACCCTTTTCTGATCCATCTTTAGTTGAGGTACACCTACAGATAAGTCTTTTTTATCCACTACTAGCTGGCTTACCCGGCTCCGCCATATGTTCCGAATAGAAAATTCCATTTCTTAACCGATCCGGACCAAACTTGGCACACATACACTTCGGGCCCCAGCGGGTGTCACAGTCCACTGACTGGACACCCGCCGGGGCCCGAAGTGTATGTGTGCCAAGTTTGGTCCGGATCGGTTAAGAAATGGAATTTTCTATTCGGAACATACGTACATACATGCAGACATACAGACATACATACAAACAAACATTCAGCTTTATATATAAGATAAATACCCTAAATCTTGTCAGCTAAAGTCCGAAGCAGTCTTATATATCGGACTTATGTCTAGACGATTTTGTTGCAGGAGGCCTCGTATGCCAGACACTTTTAGTGTACTTCTCATTACTTTATTCAGTTATTTTGCTCTTTCAGCGCCATATATGCGACAGCTTCCTGTCACAGCATCATTTAGTCAGGGTGAGTGTTTGTTTTTGAGCCCATTTGGATAATCAAGTGTAAGGCAGTAAATTACTACAATTTATCATATCTCTGTGCTTCAAACTTTTGTCAAATTTTGTTTCAGCCAAGCTGAACACTGAAATCAAGGATACATCAGTCAAGGACAAGCCGTCTCAACCAAAATCTGGCATTAATGTTCAAAAAGCACCTCAGAACTTGCGTGAGTTCGGAAGTTTATGCGTACATGTCTCGGAATTGTAGATTTTTTCTGTTTGCAATGAAGTGCATTTTGTCTTTTTTGGATCCCTTTTTCCTAGTGATTCGGAGCCTCTTTCGTCAAGTTTTTCGCGGTGTTACTGTACGTTAGAAGCAGCGTCCAGGCAAGTCTGGACACATGGGGATCTCACGTGAATAGTAATTTTGGGGCCCTCGCTAAGCCACTGCCCAACCGGCAGCTCAGGTAGTGCTCTAACGGCTGAGATATTCCTCTCGAAAGTGGACCCCGCGATCGTATTTCGCATGGATTCATGGCGCAAAGCGGTGTTCGGCAGCGAAATTGCCATGAATCCATGCGAATACGATCGCGGGGTCCAGTTTCGAGGGGAATATCAGCCGTTAGAGCACTACCTGGTCTGCCGCTTGAGCAACGCCTTAGTTAGGGCCCAAAAGCACTTTCAACGTAATATCCCTATAGGTCCAGATCTGCCTGGACGCTGCTTTTGAAAACGAAGATGTAATCTTATAGATCTATGCAATAGAGCATGACTTGTTTATCGTTAGGTTTTGATCATGATCAGGTCATTAATAATCAGACTACACTCTAGCGAGCGGATGGCTGTAATCTGTGAACATCAGTTCTATGCTAATAATTTCGAATTTCGTAAAAGAAATTATTTCCCGTGGTAAACGGAAAGCAACGTTAATTTTGCAGAAACGATCAAAGTTGAGCATAAAGGCAATGTCGCAGTCATTAAAATGGATGTTGCTAATAGCAAGGTATGTCCAGTATGTCTTCTGCGTAACTGCTTTGAAGAAAGTTCTTTAGGAAAATCTGCTGAACGATGCTTTATCAGCTGATCTCCAGACAGCATTTGAACAGGTCGTATTATAGCAGTTCGTATTTCTTATTTGCTAATCTCCAACAGTTTTAGGCGAAGCGCGATGACAGCGTAAAAGCAATCGTTCTGATGTCTGCAAAACCCAGTAGTTTTTTGGCCGGCGCCGATTTGGGAATGCTTAGCAAAGCTAAAACGCCTCAGGACGGAGTGGCAATGTCAAGGTGAGTAAGCAGTTCACACTATTAAATAATATATTTTATGTGGTTACTCTTTAGAAAGGGCCAAGATGGAATGATGAAGATAGAGCAGTCAAAGAAACCTGTGGTCGCTGCAATTATGGGCAGTTGCTTGGGCGGTGGTTGCGAACTGGCAATGGCTTGTCATTACCGTATCGCTGTGAATGATCCAATGACTCAAATCGCATTGCCTGAGGTCAGTTTTGACCGTTACTTCCTCGTTTCTATCTTTGATTTATATTTCATTTTGAATTATATTTTTTCCTATAAAGGCCCGTAACAATCTTATTGAAGTGTCTTCATGAAATTCTCGTATTTCAGCCGTATATGGTTTTCAGTCTTCAGTTTTAGGTCACGCTAGGACTTCTACCTGGAGCGGGAGGAACCCAAAGAATATTGAAGCTTGTGGCCCTCCCGAATGCATTGGATGTGATGTTGACAGGGAAGAAACTGAAAGCTGACAAGGTGGGTTATAAAAGTTACCCGTCGCATCTCCTGTGGCCGTATTCATCAACGACCCTAGTGGGTTTCGGAACCCAGAGAGTAGGCTTAATCCTTTAGATCGGTATTCATGAAGCCAGTGATTCCGCGAATCCAACAGCGCTTTTTGTAAATATTGATCCAATTTTATTCACCTACTGAGTAGTAGAGAACCACTGGTTTCGTTACGAATTCGGTCACTGCTTACGAAACTTTGTACTCATTTTTTTCAATTGCTTTCTGCGATCTTGCTATTATTTCTATGTTTGACAAAGAAATCGGTAGTGTAATATCTGTTTCATGATCATGTAACTCTCTAGGCAAAAAAGATCGGACTCGTAGATTCTATTGTTCATCCTATTGGTGCAGGTGTACAACCGGAGCCGATCAATACTCACAAGTAAGCTTTTCAGAAAGTCTTTTTGTCGCCATACTTCTGCTTTCTAGATACCTTGAGAATGTAGCCGTGGATACAGCTCAACAGCTTGCTAGTGGAGCGCTGAAAGTCGACCGAGAACCGAAGATATGGGAAAAGGGATTGTCGAAGGTTGTTCATCTGTTGATTCTGCTTCGTTTTTTTTTTTTGAATTTTTAGAGGCTTCGTAGTTGGTGCTACGCTCTTATGTTTTCTTATCTAGCAAGAGGTTAATATGGAAAATCCTTTTCAGTTACTGTCATACGAATTTGTAACGGACAAGATCGTCATGAGGTATCTCAAGGATAAGGTAAGCATTCATGTGAAATCCTGATTTTATTCTAATTTTCTCTCAAAGAGAGTCTTAATTTATGAATCATTTGTAGGTCATGAAGCAAACTGGAGGCAACTATCCTGCTCCACTAAAAATTTTGGAAACAGTACGCAAGGGTCTAGTCCAAGGCGTTACAGAAGGATACTCCCACGAGTCTCAGGTAATTTTCCTCTTTGTTCTAGGACTCTCGCATAAGGCGAACTTTTCTCGCTACTCGCTTTTGCAGTGTTTCGGCGAACTGATGCACACAAATCAATCCAAAGCACTTGTGGGATTGTTCAACGGGTCTGCGGAATGCAGAAAGAACAAGTATGGGATTGGGAAGCCTGTGAAGTGTGTTTCAAATGGTAATTTACTTTCTTCTTGTTGAAAATATGAATTGTAGGGAAGTTGCTGTTGTGGGAGCAGGACTCATGGGAGCAGGTATCGCTGATGTTACCATCGATAAAGGTCTAAAGTGTGTGCTGGTGGATAGGGATCAGCAGGTATGGAATTCATCAATTGACACATTATTAGTTCACTTTCAAATAGTGTAAAAATTGATTGTAAAATTATGCGTAAAGATTAGGGAGATTATCTCTAGTTTAACCAGGGTTTGGAGCGTGGTCAAAATCAAGTTGCCAACTATATGGATAGTTTGGTCAAACGTCGGAAGTTTTCGAAGCTGGATAAAGAAAGGTTTTCTTTCTTGTTCATTCTGAGTTGATTAGTCTTACATTTTTTGAGAGAAGGGTTGTAGAGGGTAGAACGGCTATAAAGTATTGCCTCCAATCTCAGTTTGGAAAGATCTTGGTGATTTAGCAGATAATGATAAACTTTTGCAGAACGGTCTGTAATCTTGTCACCACCTGCGACTACGATGCGATGAAGAATGCTAACGTTGTGATTGAAGCCGTTTTTGAAGACTTACCTTTGAAACACAAGGTCATAAAGCAGATTGAAGGAATTGTGGGCAAGGTGAATGTGTTTCCCACATGTTCATAACTGACCTTTCTAATTGTTCTGGTGATTTTGAACATGTTAGCTGACTTTTCTCCTCTAGGACACCATCATAGCCTCCAATACATCCGCTCTGCCAATAAAAGAAATTGCAAAAGTCTCCAGTCGTCCCGATAAGGTGAGGGCTAAAGTTTGTGCTTTTGATTTTTTTACCTTAATATCAGCTTACTTTCTTTGCAACAGTGTTTTTTGATCTTGTTTTTACTATTATATTGTACTTCGACTTTTACCCAACTATTTTTGGCTCTTCTAGGTGATAGGCATGCATTACTTCTCTCCTGTTGAAAAAATGCAGCTCCTAGAAGTTATAGTCCATGATGGTACGTCAAAAGAAACTGTAGCAACGGCTGTCCAACTGGGACTGAAGCAAGGGAAGACTGTGGTTGTTGTTAAGGTACAATATCAAACTTTTCTATGGCTACGAAGTTGGATTTTTTCCGTGTAGGACTGCCCTGGATTTTTCGTGGTACGGTGCTTATCTCCAATGATGTCTGAAGTGATCCGATTGTTACAAGAAGGCGTACCTGCGCAGGAGATTGACAAACTAAGCAGGCGGTTTGGTTTCCCTGTAGGAACTGCCACGCTTTCAGATGAGGTATGTAACGTATCCCACAATTTTTTTTTTGTTTATGTTTTCACCAGTCTTGCTGTTTTGCATTTCCTACAGGTTGGATTGGATGTTGCTGAGCATGTTGCTAAGTTCCTAGGCGACGCGTTAGGACCCCGAGTGCGAGGAGGATCGTCTGATGTCCTCTCTGATCTGGTAACGGCAGGGTTCAGAGGACGAAAAAGCAAAAAGGGTAAGGATTTTTTGGTCCCCTCATTTTGATAATAATAATTTTGTTATCATTTGCACTTCTAGGTATTTATTCATACCAGGAAGATATTCCGTTCCCGCTATCCCTTATACAAAGAGGAAAGAGCGTCAATGGTGATGCCTTGAAAATTTTCGATAAATATCGATTGACTGCACCCCAAAATTGGTATTTTGTTTGTTGGCCATTTTTATTCTATCTCTCAAAAAAGAATTGTTTAAGCTCCTCTATGGAAGACCAACAATTACGTCTAGCCAGTAGATATGTTAATGAAGCGTTAATATGCCTACAAGAAGGAGTGATAGCTAGTCCCGTCAGTATTTGTGACTACTTCCCAATTTTTGCATCAGCTAGACTGCTTTTTTTTTCAGATGGAGGGCGATGTCGCATCAGTGTTAGGTATTGGATTCCCACCATTTTGGGGTGGACCATTCCGATTTGTAGATCTGTATGGAGCGAAGAAGTTGGTTAATGTCATGAATAAGTTTGCATCGGCATATCCCCCTGAGCAGGTACTTTTGTCTTTATGGTGTTTTTTTTCAATGTTTTTGCGAAATGGCGGACAGCTTTGATAGCTCATCTTACTTTCTTGTTTTGGGAGTCATCATTTTGAAGCATATGTTTATTCTACAATGCTTTTTGGCGGTACTTAAATTCAAAAATTGCTTTTTTACAGTTCACTCCTTGTCAGCTTCTCAAGGATCATGCGCAGAGTGGAAAGAAGTTCTATCCATAGGTGTATCATAGAGTCAGCTTTGTTCAGCGCCGGTTATTTTTGTTATTTATTGGTACTTGTTATTTGAGATTACCCTTCATCTGTTGACTTTTGACTTCACGAGATTTTCTTTTTTGAGTTTATCGCCTCGAAACCGGTGTTTTTGAACTGTAACATAGTTTTAGATCTTGTTTGCTTACGGTTCATTGACTCTGCCATTTGTCAGTCAGTACGCAGTACTATGATGATCAAGTAGCAGCTAGAATCCAATTTGAAGAATTGATCTATAAGTTTAGATATTAGTGTCATAAATAGTTTACTTTGCCGTCTTTTTCTAATTCTTTTTCTTTTTCTATCCTTCCTCCTGTCCTATCATGAGCAACATCATTTTCCCATCTTTCTTACTATCCTTCTCTTTTTTCTGCTTTCTTCTCTCGTCGCGTGTCGTGAATCTCGTAAATTTACCAAGTTTCTGTGAATCACATTCTTCTTGATAGGCAGCCGCTAATCCGTTGGGTTTGGAGAGATGATACTATCGCGGCTAACACACGGAACGAGAGTCATCGGTAGGTATTTTCTGATAAGCATGTGATGCATGTAATATGCAAAAATGTGGAGCATCAATGAAGTTTTACAGCTTGAAATTGTGAAACAGAGATATTCCTCATATCTCCCTCTGTCGCATTTTCCTGCGAGGTCTGTGTAGCATGATTGAACCGAATACTAATGTGTAGAATGAGGATTGTGTGACGAAAAAGAATCCTTTGCACAGAAGACAAATCTTCTGTAGGTATACAGGTCAGCAGCTGTAACGGCAATATCGTGTCGTTGCGTGCAAACATTTGCCAACATTATCTGCGCGTCAACAAATTGCTGCGAATGTAATGCGGGCAGTTTGCGCGCGCAAAACAGCTGCAGAGCGCACATTTGCAGGTTTTGCACCATTGGCAATTTATTCATGCGCCAATGTTGTCGGCAAATATTAGCGCTGCAGGGACACTGTATTTACCCTTGTATCTATTTTATCACGAACTTTGAAACTTGACTTATTTTTATACGTATTCAAAGTAGCCGCCAAATTTTCGACGACGCCATTTTATTTCGGGGAGTTGAACTTTCTAGCAAGAGTGCCCTCCTGAATTGATCTAAAGGTGGCGCAATTACGGGTGAGTTTTTGCTAATGGACGGCCATATAGTCGAGGCTGGTGCTTTATTGTGCTGGTTGTAAATTCATATCCTGCTGAGATGTACGGGCAACGTTAAAAGAATGTCTCGTAACGCAACTGCGCAATCTAGTCCGCGTGGAAATCGAAGCAAAAGGAGGACACTCCGATCGTCAGAACGCTTCAATATGCCACCTCCATAATTTTAGGCTACTTTCATTTTACTGAGAGTGAAATTTTTCTAGACTAATCATTGTCATGATGCTAGGCGATAAAAAAATATTATATTAGGTTGGCACGAAAGTTCTTGCGTAATTCAAACAAAATTCAGTAACTTTTCAAAGACTAAACCTAAATTCACAATCTTGTATAAAATATTAGAAGTCTCACGCTCCATGATGGAAGTTCAAGCACAACATTCCATGAGCTAGCCATCAAGAACGAAGCTCTCCAATATGGGGCTTCAAATTTTGCGATTTTGAGTTTGGTGGCAGAAAATCGCAGAGGGTCGCTAGCTGGCCGAAAAAAATTTGTAGAATTTAGTTACACAGCAAAACTCCATACGTTATTTTAGCAGGCTTTGATCTCGCATGGAAGTGCGAAAACAAAAAATTTGTGTAATTTCTCATTTCACAGGACAGATCTTCTTATCGCTCTAACTTTTCCACAGAAACACAGTTTGCAACCAGAAACTTTGCAACCAGAAATTAGACATAGTGCCTATTTAGAGCCTTGCGACGTTTTCTCGATTGTAAAAAAGTGTTTTCGCAGGAAAACTGCGGACATGAGGGGACTTTTTCCGCAAAATGACATATTCCGCGAATTTTTTGTTTTTGCTTCACCGTGCAAGATCAAAGCCTGCTAAAATAACGTATGGAGTTTTGCTGTGTAAGTAAATTCTACAAATTTTTTTCGGCTAGCTAGCGACCCTCTGCGATTTTCTGCCACCAAACTCAAAATCGCAAAATTTGAAGCCCCATATTGGAGAGCTTCGTTCTTGATGCCCAGCTCACGGAATCTTATGCTTACACATCCATCATGAAGCGTAAGGCTTCTTATATTTCAAGCATACAAGATTGTGAATTTAGGTTTACCCTTTGAAAAGTTATTGAATTTTGTTTGAATTACGCAAGAACTTTCGTGCCAACCTAATAATTTGGGTTTCCGTAAGTTCGAAATTTATGCATCTTGCTTTGCGCAGCTTTGACAATTTCACCTTTTTTCCTGGGAAGAGTGGTTCTTACCTTCTGTCTCGGCTATCCTCGATGATTTACCACTGGTTGGACCCAGTAATCCGTAAAATTGAACGATGACGTGTAGGTTATCCTTCGCTGCGGTCAGCTCCGCAATATTTGATCTTTCTATAATATAAACAATGAATTTAATGCGGTATAAACAAAGAAAGTAGAGAAGACAGTTTTCTGAGTTAGTTTGAAAAAGTAGCAAAGTTTAATGTGCGATCTACCCTTTGATTCAGCTGCCTTGGCGGCTGAAAGGTTGGGGTTCGTGACCTAATCAAAGTCAGGTGATCAATGATCACGCACGCGAGAGAGACGCAGAGTGCGTCGCGGGCGCGAACGACCTCAATTAAGTCACAAAGCCCCGCCTCCAGTCCCCAAGCCTAATGAATCGAAGCTTATGTCTTATTTCTACTTACTACTTCCTTGTCGCCATTTGTTGGAAAGGATATAGGAACAGCTGTTGAATTTTATTGGTGGAGCTATGCACTCGCACACCGTACAACATTTTTTGTATCGCTGTTTCCTACGGATATGCTGCACCTGTTCCAAGCATGGTCTTGAAAGTTCCAGTTATATGTATATCGTATTCTCGATTTAAAGCAGTCCTATGTTCTAGCTCCGTTCGTTCGCCGATTCTCCGCCACGATGTCGCTGAATCAAGGTAATTCCACTTTGATTCTGATTCAATAATGGCACGGAATATCGCTGTCCATTAGTTGACGGTTATTATGATGTTATTTGTGTTGCCGACAACATTTGCGCGTAAGTTAAGGCGGCCGCAGGGGCAAAACTCAAAATGCGCGATCAATAGTCACTTTCCGCGTAAATGTTGTCGGGACCGCATATTAAAAATAGCTTGAATTGACTAAAACTAAGCTCCCTTTGCAGGAACGGTAAAAATCGAGAACAAGGGTGATGTAGCTGTGATCAAGATGAATCTAGAAAACGCTAAAGTCTGTAAACCTCTCCAAAAATCCTTTTCGAAAATCGTGTTCAACCAAAAACTGACCATGTTTAGGAAAACGTTCTCAACGAAGCTCTGGCTGCTGATTTGCAAGCAGCTTTCGAAAAAGTAAGATATTTTAAATTATATCGTACAATAATTTGCACATCTTCATTATCGTAGGTAGGACGCGATGGTTCTGTAAGCTCAGTAGTTCTGATGTCTGCTAAGCCAAATAGTTTTGTGGCTGGAGCTGATGTAGGAATGCTTAGCAAAGCGAAGACTGCACAAGAAGGAGCTTCTATCTCGAAGTAAGAACTAATTTCTCCTATAGTTCAAAGAAAATGTAATATTAGGTTGATGCAGAGGTTCTTGCGTAATTCAGAAAGATAATCATTTTTCAAATCTCAATTGTAATGTCTTTAGCTGAGAAAATAGAGTGCTTGCGCTTTGCGACATTTATCTATACTCAGCTTTTCGTTTTTTAAGCCTGAAGAAACAAATATTCAAAATGGCGCTTTACATCTCATTTAAAAAGCTGGAGTGCCGTTAGCTGGTCCGAAAAATTTAAAAAATTTTTTCTAGCATAGCAACAGTCCATACATCATTGTGCTAGGCTTCAATCTTGTTTGAAAACGCGAAAAAAAACAAAAACAAAAAAATTCTTGAAAATTTTGATTGTGCAAAAAAATCTCTTCACCACGTTTTTTTTTACAAAAGAGCTAAAGGCTATTTATTAGAAAAACAAAAAGTTCTGTATCAAGAGGATTTTCCCCACAAAAGTGACATTTATTACCAACTAGCTGGCAAACCAGGCTCCGCCCGGCCCTGTCATTATTATATTCGTAATCAGCATGCTCGATTACCCCCCTGTGCCAACTCCCAGCCCCGTAGCTCAAATTTTGCAAAAAATCGATAAGATCGATATCGATCGATAACGAAAAATAGCCTATGACACGCTCCCTGCCCCGAAGTATATGTGTGCCAAGTTTGGTCCAAATCGGTCCAGAAATAAAAATTTCTATTCCGCACATACGTACATACAGACAGACATACAGACATACATACACACATTCAACTTTATATATAAGATTTTTTGTTTTTGCATATTTGGGCAAGATTGAAGTCTGCCACAATAATGCGTGGGCTGAAGCGTCTAAGAAATTTTTGCAGATTCTTGAGGACAGCTAGCGGTACTCTATTATTTTTATGACCAGTCAAAATCACGAAGTATGGAGTGCCATGCCGTTTTTGAGAATTAGCTTTTCCAAGGCTAGCCAGCGAAAACTGCGTTTAGATAACTATCGTAAAGCGCAAACCTTCTCTATCGCCAGCTACCCCTTATTTTTTGAATACGAAGCCATGAATTTGGATTATGCACGTTTCAGGAAAGCTCAGGATCAGTTCGAAAAGCTGGAGCGATCCGGAAAACCCATTGTAGCCGCGATCATGGGAAGCTGTATGGGTGGAGGATTGGAATTAGCAATGGCTTGTCAATACCGTATCGCAGTAAATGATAAGAAGACGCAGCTAGCATTGCCTGAGGTTTGAATCAATCATTTAAGAACCCAAAAATTACTTTAATAAAACTTCAAGGGCTTAATAGAGTTTATGCAGAAAGAAAGGGGGCGTAGAATAATAATTTTGATCAGTCGCAGAAAAATTAACTTGTTCGAGAAAAAAAATGAGGTCTCTGATATTACGGTCATGGTTTACTTGTTCAGATTAGTTGTACATCAATAGTATAATGATTTCATACAATTTCAAATATTTTTGATTATTTTCAGGTTATGCTTGGACTTCTTCCTGGAGCTGGTGGTACTCAGCGACTTCCTAAACTTGTGTCAATCCAAAATGCTCTTGATCTGATGCTTACCGGAAAGAAAGTCAAGGCTGACAAGGTTTTCTTTTTTTTTCTTTCCCTTTCTTTTTTCATAAGATGAATTGTTCCAACCATGACTGATTTTTAGGCAAAGAAGATGGGTCTCGTTGATTCTGTAATTCAGCCACTTGGAGCTGGACTCGCACCTTCGGCTGAGAATACACATAGGTACAGAAATATGGCTAGCATTATCATAATCATCATAACTTAAGACTATTTCAGGTACTTGGAAGAAGTAGCAGTAAATACAGCGAGACAGTTAGCAAAAGGCTCGCTGAAAATAAATAGGGAGAAATCAATGATGCAGAAAATTATGCAAAAGGTAGGCTTTGGCATGGAATGTCATATTGTATATTGAAAAAGGATAAAATTTCAGGCTATAACGACATCGTTCGTTCTTGACAGAGTAGTGCTGAAGATGGCCAGAGATAAGGTAATCGAACCAGTGATTAGGAGATAGCTGGACAAAAAGCGTTTCTGAAGTAAAAAGGGCAAAATTAGTCAAACTAACCCTAACCGGAACAGAGCCATATCAAAATAGCGCATACCGCAGTCTTTCGCTACTTCAGGTATACGGTAGTAGGCCAACTGTGATTGGTCAATGTTTATGTAAGGTTATCGTAAGTCTCATTGTCATAGGCAGGACGCGTTCTGACGTGACAACCGCCATCGCTACCAATATACGTATCGATTGGGCTTTGCAATGTCGATACTGCCAAAACAGAATTCCTGAGTGGGCGGGACGGAGTTAAAGGGCGGGGCCACCACTACCGAATCCCTTTTTTGGGACGCTTTTCTCGCCTCGCAAGCAACCTTTTGCAGTGCAATTTGGGTATTTGCCTAGTGTGGGGGTTTCATTATCGTATAGTAAGAGAATCTCATCTCCCCACCTCTGCATTCTGACTGGACGGTGCCGGAAGGTGCACAATACCAAGAAATTCTCTCAACTTTGTACGATAAATTCCTTTGTTGAAAAAAAAATGCGCTCACGAAAAACAGGGGCATCGCGATGTTTTGATTCTTTGGAAACTGTTGCCTTCTTCGATTGAATTTATATTATAACTATTATGGTAATTGAAGTCATTCCCTCCCTCATAATCTATTGTACTGTATCGTACTATTTTAGGTAATGAAAATGACTGGCGGAAATTACCCAGCTCCGCTCAAAATTCTCAACACTGTGCGTGCAGGACTTGTCGAAGGACCAGCTCAGGGATATATTGCCGAGTCACAGGTTTGTGTGATCTTAACCCTATCAAAGCATTTTCCTACGGTTTTTCTAGAACTTCGGTGAACTTATTCAAACTCATCAATCTAAAGCATTAGTGGGGCTGTTTATGGGATCGACAGAATGTAAGAAGAATAAATATGGTCAAGGCCTACCAGTAAAGTGAGTGATAATCCTAGAATTCTTATTTACGAGAAAGAATTTTGAATCTATGAGAAATTTTCCGTTTCAGAGAAGTAGCCGTAGTTGGAGCTGGGCTTATGGGAGCTGGCATAGCTAACATCACTATCGACAAAGGGCTAAAATGCGTTTTGCTTGATATGAATGAGCAGGTGAGCATTTCAGAAATTTCCAATTTGAAAAAGACCTGTGCAAAAGGACTCTCTTTCTTCGAAATTTGATATTGTTCTTCAGCTTATTTTTCACTTTGTCTGACCTGCCCAAAGCAGAGAACTTACATTGGGGACTAGTTTTCGTAGATATTCGTTTGAGGTTGTCATGTCATTGTAAAGTTTCATGGAGCACGAGCGCGAGAACTGATCTTTTTCATTACGTATAGAACAAAATTTTAGCGTTTTTATTCCAGTTCAAAAATTTGAGATCGTAGCTGAATATATCGTATTAATCCCAGACAATCGCAAATGACTTCCGGGGGAAACTGAACTTCTAAAGCTTCCGCGGGACACTCCTATTGGAGCTGCCAGGTAGGGCTAGGAAGGGCGGGGCCCACCCACACTGCCCTATAGGAGCTTCCCCCCTCCCCCCTCGAAGTCATTTGCGATTGTCTGAGATAACTGTCAGCGTAATTTTTTCTTCGTATCTGCTCAAGTTTCGGTGTTTTAGGGGCTTGAGCGTGGAAGAAATCAGATTGCAAATCATTTGAATGGACAAATGAAAAGAAGGAAGATCAATAAGTTGGAGAAAGAAAGGTGAGCTTGTTAATCAGATAGAAAGAAATTTAAAGATTACCAAAGTAACTACTATTGTAACAAGAAGGAGTAACATTTTGGGTTGCTACTTCTAAGAAATAGTAAAAAATTCAACTTTTGAAGAAAAAGGTATAATCGAGGATTTCTGAAGCTTGTAAATTTTGCTTGAAATACTTTTCGTTCAACATCTCTTTCCAGGATAGTAACGAATCTTGTCCCTTCCTGTGACTATAGTTCCATGAAAGACGCTGATATAGTGATAGAAGCTGTGTTCGAAGATTTAGATCTGAAACATAAAGTTATCAAGCAAATCGAAGGTGTTGTAGGAAAGGTGGGTGAGATCTTGAGGCTGAAAAATGGCTCTTGCTGAATGAGAATTTTTGCAGGACACTATCATTGCATCCAATACATCAGCCTTGCCAATCAAAGAGATTGCCAAGGCATCTGCACGTCCGGATAAGGCTAGAATTTTTTTTCAAATATTTTTAAACACATTTTGCTTTACTTTGCTCAACTTATACTGTGTACAGGTCATCGGAATGCATTACTTCTCTCCTGTGGAAAAAATGCAGCTTTTGGAAATTATTGTTCACGACGGCACTTCGAAAGAAACTCTTGCCACAGCAGCGCAAGTTGGTCTGAAACAGGGCAAAACTGTTGTGGTTGTAAAGGTAGGCTTTCTACTTCTTCCATAAAATGAACTAGATCAAAAATGGTGATTTAAAGGACTGCCCCGGATTCTTTGTGGTGCGTTGCCTAGGACCAATGATGTCTGAAGTGGTACGACTTCTGCAAGAGGGAGTATCACCCCTGGAACTGGACAGACTTACCAAACAGTTTGGTTTCCCTGTAGGAGCCGCGACGTTGTCAGATGAGGTGGACAAACTTTGTAAATTCTATCCTGTTCCATCTAAAAAATATTTGTAGGTTGGCTTGGACGTATCCGAGCATGTGGCCAAGTTTTTGGGCCAAGCACTTGGTCCACGAGTTCGTGGTGGAGCACCAGAATTATTGGCAGACATGGTATCGGCAGGATTCAAGGGAAGGAAAACGAATAAAGGTTTGTTCAAAAAACAACAGGACAATAATTCGCAAAATGGTGACGAAAAATAAAATTACTTCCCGCGGTTCTGAAAATATTTCTCTTTAACTACTATAAAATCTTACTGCCTTCTTTTTTTGTCAAAGCTCATCGTCATCAACAGGCTGTACTTTTGGTACTAGTCTACAATTTTCAAATTTTTTAAAATTATGTGCTAGTGATGCCTTTTCAACCTTCCCTTAAATCTTCTAGAAATTTTTTGGAAGCAGGCGGGAAAATATTGGTTTGGCCTTATACTGTTTTCATGCTCATAGAGCTGCAATCATCTTTGATTGCTGTGCACAAAAGCTAAAAGCATCTAGCGCTCAATTCTAGCTTGCCAAAAACTCAAAAATTAAGGTGATTGATTCAGTTCTATGAAGTAACGCATATCTGATGTCTAATATCAGTTTTCACCCCAATCTATTATATTTTTCCCTTTGACTCAAAAATGGAAATGGCTTGCAGGAATCTATTTATACGACGGCAAGAAGAAGAAGGTGAACGAAGATGCAATGAAAATTCTTCAGAACTACAAATTGACACCACCGGGTAGTTGGTAAGCTTGCAATCTTTTTTCGACCCCAGACATTTGTAAGTAGCACTTTTTGAGTTCGTCGACACAAGATCGTCAACTGCGTCTTGCTACTCGATTCGTCAATGAAGCGCTGCTATGTCTCGAAGAAGGAGTGATCTCAAGCCCTGTAAGTTTGACCACTCTTTGATGTCGTATTATTTACTGAGTGATGTGTTTTTTAGACTGATGGTGACATCGCATCCGTGTTTGGAATTGGTTTCCCGCCATTCTGGGGTGGCCCATTCCGATTTGTAGATCTTTATGGAGCTAAGAAGCTGGTTGATTCTATGGAAAAGTTTGCATCAGCATACAATCCAGAGCAGGTGAGCTTTTTTCCATTTCATAAAATATAAATCGAAAACTGTTGGCCGTACTGTTTTCTCACTGTTCCATGTAAAAATTCGGAAATTCTTGATCCAAAATACGTTATCTCAATTGTTGTGGAAATTAATAAACATTTTTGAAAAGCTAGTGGGTTTTATAGTCTCCAGCTCGCTTTCGCTTCTTCTACTAGAAAAATCTTCCGATAGTGGTCAAGCTTGAATCGAAGAATAAAGACGAGTGGTATTTTCCGGAAAACATCGGTAACGAAAAAATGAGGGAACTTTAAAGAAAAGTTGATGTAGTTATGTACTAAATATCAGGTTGATCTTTAAATCTTGCACCAAAAAGATTAAAAATTGGTTTAATAATTTTAGATATAAAGTTTTATGTTATAATTTTTTTTGAAACAAACTCTTTTTGATTTTATGCATTAGAAATTTCATTCAAAAAACAAAAGTGAGCAATCTTGCCAAAAAAATCGAAAATCATGATTAAGGAACATCTCACTATTAGCTTCTTGCATTCAAAGGGTAAGTTGTACAATTATAATCAAAAATAAAGTTAGAATTTGATAAACTAGCATTGCTAGCATTTTTAGACATCAAAAATCAAATAATTACAATTTGAGAGCTTCCTTTATTCAGCTTGACAAAATGGATTCTTACCCTAAATACCAACTAAAAATGACTTCGTTTTTATGAGCCATATTGAATTGAACAAATCTGTTTAAAGGACAATTGTTACCATTTTTCAAAATTTTGAATGCAAGATCTATGGATCAACCTACTAACTCTTATTCACAAAATACAGGATCGATTATATTCAGAAATTTATCCTAATACTCAATTATTTCTCCGGATAAAAACTAAACAGATTTTTTTCTGTCAAACAAAGAGCAACCTAATGTGTTTCAGTTCACACCATGCCAACTTCTCAAGGACCATGCACAAAGCGGAAAGAAATTTTACCCCACTAACTGAACCGAATTTACCGCTTGACTACATATTTATTCTTATAGTTTGTATCTGCTACTACAGGTTAAAACAGATTCTGGGTCTCAAATGTACCTTATCGAGCATTTCGACACTTTTATAGATTGTATCGTGCCTAATACAATTTTACGGTTAACAGCTCAATCATACTGCCTTTCTGACTCTCTCTGCTCAGCCTACCTCAATGCCTGCTCATTGTTTTAGCCTTGAATTGTGATTTTTGCAGCCAATAATAATTTTTACCAATGTTTCGTGCGATAGGTTAAAGCAACTAGCGATGAACGTGTATAATTTATAGGTTACATGCTACTAGGAATTTTTTATCGAATATTGCAAATTCCATGTCAGCAATAAATATAAATCTTTTATTTAGCGTGTTCGGTTTTACAGAAGGCTTAACGCTTTGTATTCTTCTGGTAATCTGTTTTTTTCAACCACCAGCTATTTCCGGTCATTTTTTGCCCAATGCAGAACAAGCGTTTCTCAATTTTGATATCCAGTCATTTCTTCCACGGCTTAGCAGAGGTTGTAAGGAATCCACTTAGTAGAGCATATTCGAATGACACATTATAATTTTCCACAATTTTTGCTCTCTTTGGTCTCCTCCAGATCTTAAACATGTTGATTAACTAAGCCGCTTGGCGCTACAGTTTTTCTTTCTCTTCATTTTATACAATACTTTATGAACGTCTCAACCCTCGACATTCTTAGTGACCTCCTAATTCGTGCTTGTACTCATTTCATCAATGTTTATAGGTTTTATTGAAGTCATTGCTATTAGGGGAAGATGTTGTCGCGGTTAACAAATAGATCAAGATCTATTGGTGAGTGATGCACTCTCATTTTTGCAAAGATAGATGTATTCTTTGATTCAACTGGCTTGGCGGCTGAAAGGCGGGGCTTCGTGACCTAATGAGAGCTAGATGATGGTCAGAGAGCACGCGCGCGACAGAGATGCAGATTGCGTCGCTGGCGCAGGTGGCCTTAATTAGAGCACAAAGTCCCGCCTTCCAGCCGCATGCCAGTTGAATCAAAGGTTAAAGAAAGAATCATTTTTTAGGAACATGCATTTTATCATGCGTCTAATCTATATTGTCACATTGTAGTGCTTTTTTCCACGAGTCTTTCCCCTTAATCTTGTACAGAATTTTCAATGCACGAATCACAAGCCTTTTTTAGAAGAGCTAGCTACCATATTGGATTATGGCGTGCAAACATTATTTCTTGTAAAATAAAGTTCTAATTGTCTTTTAGTATCGTTTGTTCGACGATTTTCTGTTACATCATCACTCAGTCAAACTGGTATGATTTATTTTTTATTTTAATTAATTTTTTCCACTGTGCGCAAATTTATTGCATTGCTATATGTGATTTATTAAAACAGGTACAGTGAAAATACAGAATCAAGGCGATGTAGCTGTCCTCAAAATGGATTTGGCGAATACCAAGGTTGTTTAGATTTCTTCACATTTTCTCTAAAAACTTTTTCTTAGGAAAATGTCTTAAATGAAGCATTAGCTAGCGATCTTCAAGCAGCTTTCGACAAGGTATGAGCCTGCAAAGAAGTTAAAAGTGTCTAATTGCTGCAGTAGGTGGAGCGCGATAGCTCTGTGAAATCTATAGTCCTTATGTCTGCGAAGCCGAACAGCTTTGTGGCTGGAGCAGATGTCAATATGTTGAGTAAAGCAAAAACAGCGCAAGAAGGAGCTTCCATTTCAAAGTGAGTTAAGCCAAAGACTTACGCTCACTCACGCGTCAAATTCTGCTTTTTAGGAAGGCTCAAGAACAATTTGAGAAGTTGGAACGATCCGGGAAGCCTATTGTAGCAGCGATTATGGGCAGCTGCATGGGTGGTGGACTGGAACTGGCAATGTCATGTCATTATCGTATCGCAGTGAATGACAAGAAGACTCAGTTGGCATTGCCTGAGGTGAGCATTTGGGCGCAAGTCTGAAAGAATGGTCCCGAATAGGCGTAGGAAGAACCATGCAGCATATATCTCTGTTAAAGGCGCTGTCCATTTAAATAGAGGGTTATAAGATCTTGATACGATTCAATAGTGGTGTCGCGAACCAAGTTAACGCACAAATCCCGCTGCAGGAAATGAATTTCAGAGCGAGAAAATCGTCCCAGAAGGTAGAAGCGGCAATGGTCGCTCCGCCCATCAACGTGGGTGGTCTGAGGATACAAGCCCAAAATTGGGATCAGATGTTTTTAAAGTTTCGAAAGCCTAATAATAAGGGATCTCCGACAGTGGACACATTCAAGCTCAATTTTGGATTTGTATTTTCGAACCATCCACGTTGGGCGGAGCGACCGCTGCCTCCTTCTGAAGCGTTTTACTCGCTTCTCACTCCATCTTTTGCAGCGGAATTCGGGCAATTGTTTAATCAATGTCCCCGCTTTAAAAATCACAAGTTTCATCCTTTATTTGTATGGACAGTGCCTTAAGAAGCGAAGAAGGATAGAATAACTTTTGCAATTTTTTCTTATCTTGGGATGAACCTTTGTAAAAAACCATTCAACTTGAGAATCCTTCCCAGTTGAATATGCTATACTCTTCTGTAAACTACATTTTAGTTAAGTGATCGCCATTAGAATTATCTTCTAGGACTTTTATCTTCAGGTTATGCTTGGACTACTTCCTGGTGCTGGAGGCACACAGCGACTTCCAAAGCTCGTACCTCTTCAAAATGCCCTGGACATGATGCTCACTGGAAAGAAAGTCAAGGCTGATAAGGTGAAAAAAGAGCCACTCATTTTACGCATTATGGCATTATTACATAATCTTCAGGCCAAGAAAATAGGTCTGGTTGATGCTGTTGTACAGCCACTTGGAGATGGACTCGAACCAGCAGCTGCGAATACTCATAGGTGCATTCAGGACTTTAATCTAAATACAAATTTTTGCAATTTTTTGTAGATACCTGGAGGAAGTTGCAGTGGAAACAGCCCGAAAATTAGCCAAAGGTTCATTGAAAGTGAACAGAGAGAAACCCATGATGGAGAAGATTATGCAGAAGGTAAGTGGATTTTTTCTGCAAATATCGTGAAAATCGAAAATTTTTGTAGGTGATGTCCACCTCGATCGTTCTTGACAGAGTGGTGTTGAAGAAAGCCAAAGATCAGGTAAGCGTCACTTTATCTTATTTATTGGCAGAGGCATTTAACATACGAATGTTTCTGAACTTTCGGCGCTGGTAACTAAAATCTGTAGCACAAAGAGAAGAGAGTAAAATATTCTAAGTTTGTGAACCTCTCGATCTCGCGCGCTATTTAACCGTTAGGTGGGTGCCGATCACCCCGATTAGATGCTCATCACCCGATTAGGTGCTCATCACCCGATCAAGTGCTCATCACCTGATCAGGTGCTCATGACCCGATCGGGCGCTATTTATACGGTGAAACTACGGCGGCTTAGTGATCGGTACATTGATAAATACCCCGCTTCTGGTGACAATATGGCTATGTCCCAATTTCAGGTTCTGAAGCTTACCGGAGGAAACTACCCAGCTCCACTAAAAATACTAAAGGCGGTTCGTGCAGGTTTGGTCGAGGGACCTTCTGAAGGCTACAAAACTGAATCAGAGGTAATTTTCATGACTCAACAACCATTTCGTGTAAATCAAATTTTTCTAATTTCAGAGTTTTGGAGAGCTCATCCAATCATACCAGTCTAAAGCACTGGTGGGACTTTTCACAGGATCGACAGAATGCAAGAAAAATAAGTATGGGAAGGGCTTACCATTCAAGTGGGTAAACTTTGGAAGTCGCTCTGACCTAATCGGTATGACATTTGAAAAATTTAGAGAAGTCGCTGTAGTGGGTGCAGGATTGATGGGAGCTGGAATTGCCAACGTTACCATTGACAAAGGACTAAAATGTGTGCTACTGGATATGAACGAGAAGGTACCGGCATTTTCAGCAGGTTGTGGAAAAAATTTACTTAAACACCATGAATGACCTGCGGATGTATAAGTAATATCACACGCAAAGAGTGGGCGCCGTTATATCCGCGCGAGATAGTATGTGTTTGGGAGAGACATCATACGTTCAGAGATATGATAGTGCACTTGATGGTAAGAGACGCCGACAGCTTCGGCACTGCCGACCTGTCTCTGAGTGTGATGTATCGCCTATAGATATGAGCAGCTTTCTGTTGAGGACCAGTTCTCGTGTGTTCTTGAAAACTTGAAGCTTTCATATAGTGGGAAAGAACTACAGCAAAAATACCAGAACGGTTTTATTTTCATCTTTAAATAATTTGCTCAGTAGAAGTGTGGTTTTCCAAGAAAAGGACAAAATCAACATTTGATGGTCTTGATCCATACTTAATAGATTTTGTCTAATTCAGGGACTAGAACGAGGTGAGAATCAAATTGCCAATCATCTTGATGGTCAAGTTAAACGAAAGAAGATTAACAAATTAGAGAAAGAACAGTATGTTTTTCAATTCAAAAAAAGCGTAATGTAAAGATGCGTTGCGATGCTCTTGAGAATATCTTGACAAGTGAATTGTTAAAAATTTCAGGATAGTAACAAATCTCGTAGCCACTTGTAATTATAATGCTATGAAAAACGCAGATATTGTGATCGAAGCTGTGTTTGAGGACTTGGAACTGAAACACAAAGTTATCAAACAAGTCGAAGGGATCGTTGGGAAGGTGAGTGAAACTTATGGTTTGCAATTTTTAGCAATTATTTTGATTTCAGGATACCATAATTGCATCTAACACATCTGCTCTACCAATCAAAGATATTGCAAAAGCGTCATCACATCCAGATAAAGTATTATTACTCCTTCTTTTGAAATTTTTGGAAGTTTATTGTTTACTTAGGTCATCGGGATGCATTACTTTTCGCCTGTGGAAAAAATGCAACTCCTGGAAATTATCGTTCACGACGGGACATCAAAGGAAACTCTCGCTACTGCGGCACAGCTTGGTCTAAAACAAGGCAAAACTGTTGTGGTCGTAAAGGTTTGGAATATTCATTTTATAGTAGATATCCTCTGTCTTATGTGGAGTGACCCCGACTAGAGCGGCTCGGGTCCCGTGCGGCCGCCTCGCTTGCACGTGCGCTGCGTTCTCGAACGTGTAGCCTGATCATTTTCTCACGCCTGAGCGTGCGAAAGGGCACAGAGGCAAGCTTCACTCGTTAATTTATTCGTGAGAAAATGTTAGAGAACGCGTTCGCAAATGCGGCGCAGGATCAGGCAACGCGGTGACCCGATCCGCTTGAATCGGGCTCACTCCGAATGAGACAGAAGAATTTCCTGGGATACGGTATGCTTCAGGATTGCCCCGGATTCTTCGTGGTGCGCTGCCTAGGACCAATGATGTCTGAAGTGGTCCGCATCTTGCAAGAAGGTGTTTCACCTCAGGAATTGGATAGACTCACCAAACAATTCGGTTTCCCTGTGGGGGCTGCTACTTTAGCCGATGAGGTACCTTGCTCCGGTGTTATCTTCGTTTTCCACTTTACATATCACCTTCATAGGTTGGTGTGGACGTTTACGGTCATGTGGCTGTATTCTTGGGTAAGGCATTAGGACCACGTGTACATGGTGGTTCGGTTGAGCTGCTAGAAGAAATGGCTGGAGCTGGTCTCAAAGGAAGAAAGACTGGTAAAGGTCAGTCTTGAAAAACGTGTTGGAATATTGAATTACCAGTTCAAAGCGCCGCTTCGCGGCGCTTTGAACTGGCTGTGCGTGTGGAGTGAGAAGTGTTCAAAGGCTAGAACTTGTGAAGTTTTGTCTTCAAATCTTTTCGTAGCCAAAAGTATAGCATAAAAACTTTAGGTATATACGTGTAGAGAGTAGTAGTAAGTTACTTTCTAGCTCTCTAACTCTTCAACAACTCAAATAGCTCCATGCCATATGCTACCTTAGCTTCACTACAATCTTCTTAACTCGGATTAAGTGCCACTAAATGCTTGAAGCCACTCCAGGGCTTTTATATCCGTGTCATAGTACCTTCCTCTCCCTCTCTTCCCCACCCCTACCCTCGTCCCATCCCCCCCCCCCCTCCCCTGCCCCTCCCAGCCCCCCGCACCCTACTGGTACAGAATACAAACCCCATGTAGCATAATGCCTTTCAGGCACGCAAAATTTTTATGTAGAAAGCACTGAAGAGTGGTAAGTTAGCCCCTAGCTCTTTAGCTCATAAGAAACTCCAACAGCCCTTAACAGACTTGGACTCAAATAGCTGCACGCCACATGCTGCGTTAGCTTCATCAAAATCCTCTCAATGCTAGAACTTTTCCGGAAGCGTGCCACTAACTTGCTTGACTCCACTCCAGGCTTTTTCTGTTCATGCCAAGTACATTCCTCTCTCCTCCCTCCCCCTCCCCCTTCCTTCCCTCTCCCCAGCTCCCCGCACCCTACTGGTACAGAACAACGTAAATATCACTTTCATGTGTGCAATTTTCCTGCGTTTAAAGTTTTGAGCGGATTTTGCTTTTCTCTTTCCCTGCCCCCAGCCTCTTCCCCATTAGTTACCTACCTACGGAGAATAGAGGGGGAAGATTACGAACGAAATAATTAAACAGTTTCCAATAGAGTTTTCTAGAAGAAAAACTTATTATCTTCTAAAACTTTTTCTAAGTAGAGACTCTTTGAATATTTCTGCAATTATTGTCCTACTTTTCGGGTTCTCCTTCTGCTGACGCTGCCATCACAATGCGTAACCTCAAAGTTGCTTATCGAAAGTATGCCTACGCTTTTCGCCAAAATTCAGCTTTTTATACAGTACCACACAGAATTTGCTGGCTAAGGTGCAGGCTATTCTACTCTACCAAAAGCTCCACCTGCGGTAATTCCTCATGAGGAGAGACCGCATTTCCCTCTTCTTCCCTCTCAAATCGCACCTACTGCTCAAACATCCTTTACCAAGTTTTCGAATAAAGTTCGACTTCTACTATTGGGATTCTACGCTTGACCTCAAAGTCAATAAGTAAAATTCCATCCTACCCCGCCTCCTTTCCTCAGACTCTTTATGTAAGTGCTTACGATTTAACTTCCATTCACGAAACTTCATCTGCCATATTTCAATTTTCCCCCATTTTCCTTCCTTGAAAGCCTTTCTAGCCTGTCACACTCCCTTTAGTTACAATGCGGCCAGAATCCCACTATTTCGCTCACATTATGAAATGTGAAACAAATACTAAGAATACGGCTGTTGGTGTATCAAAATCGAGAACTTTCATGAGGGAAAATCACATCTGGGATTTCTGCTGCACCACTTACAACTTTGTAAAGCAGTGCTTTTGTACAATTAACTTATAGAAATTGGCAACTAAAATAAACTGATACCAAAGTTGACACATTCTAATGCGCTAATTGAAGTGAAGCGAGCTGTTACTTGGTGACAATAATGCTAATCGATAATACTGTTTATGGAGTTGAGCACGAAAGGGCGTTCCAGTCAACATCTCGGAAGGCAGACATCCTGGGTGCATTGGGTGCATTCGAGACATAGCGACAAACGCATGAGTCACATGGTCCCCCCTGCGCTTTATTATAGAGTATGAAAAGTGCTCCGAAGAAATACTGACGCTAATAAGGTTAAGCATTGTTGAAATTTTTGCAAAAAAGAAATTACAGATTAGCTTCGAATTTCGCGCTTAATGCGATTTCCTTTTGTCTATGAAATTCTTGGTTGCGCTCCCTTCATGCCCAAAAGTAGTTTTGGTAGATAAGACTGACGCAGTGATCATTCACATATCAACTTAAAACCGCATCGTTCCTTTCTAGGGATATATGTATACGAAAGCAAAGGGAAGAAGAAGATTAACGAAGATGCGGTTAAAATCATCCAAAAGTACAAGCTTACACCACCGAGCAGCTGGTACACTATTCAGATTTTTGACGGCAATTTTTGAAAAACAGGATTATAATTTCAGCTCATCTACAGAAGATCGACAATTACGTCTTGCCACTCGATTTGTGAATGAAGCGCTGTTATGCTTGGAGGAAGGAGTGATTTCTAGCCCTGTAAGACTCTACTATGAATCTTCTCCATATGATCGGATTATAAGTTTTTTGCTTTAGACCGACGGTGACATCGCATCCGTGTTCGGTATCGGATTTCCTCCATTCTGGGGTGGTCCGTTCCGATTTGTGGATCTCTACGGTGCAAAGAAGCTCGTGGATTCTATGAATAAATATGCATCTGCTTATACATCTGATCAGGCACGTTTGTCTTTTCTTTAAGCCTGTCTTTCTGCTGAAGTTGGTCCAAAAAAAGAAGAGTTGCTTTTTTTTAGTCTAAATTTTCCAAGTTCTCAAAGCTTATCTTTCCAGTTCACACCTTGCCAACTGCTCAAAGATCATGCGCAAAGTGGAAAGAAATTCTATCCTTAATATTATGCCTCATACCTTGTTGGTAACTTATCAGGAAATAATAAGCTATTTTGCTTTTTGTTTTCTCACTAGACTGGTCTGATGTTAACCTTTTGTTCGCTTTGATACGGTTGAATAGCTTGCTCAAAATTGATATTTTTCATCGTACTTACAAGTAAACAAGTTCGCCACCGACGTCTTTCTCAGCGCGAGACGTCTGCCAAAAAAGCAGCCTGTAGCCAGTTTGATTTGAGCGGATATCGCTTTTAAAGAAGCTATGATTATTTTTGAGATTACTGGAGGATGTTTGTTTTTCTGATGATGTAGGAGCGCGGAGCTCTTGTTCTCTGCGTTTCAGATGGCTATTCGTAAAGATATCGTCTTCTTGAGTGGAACAGTGAAATTAAATCAAAATGAAGCGAAATCAATGTATTTTGAATGCAACATATTTGATCTGTCATTTCAAAACGACTTTGAAGACGGTCAGCCACCCGGGTTAAAGAGATGATCAACCTTTTCATAGTTAAGGATAGTAAGAGTACTTACATACAGGCCCGTAGTAAAGCTCGGTCAGGAGAGATTATCTCTCCTGAGGCCCTTATGTGAGGTTCCGTCAGGTGAAGTGACGACCGCCCACTTCCCCATGCTATAAAATGCAACATCACCCGTCTCCCTGCTGAGTCATCGGAGATGATCCGAGCGGTGATCTCCCGAAGTAGTGTGCTAATGAGGATATTTAGGGAAAATTTAGGTAAGTTACTCCCGAGTAACTTACGATACACGTCAGTTTAACACGTCGAACATACTGAGTGAGGTGCTACAGTGCAGGTTGACGTTTTTCGATAAGACCTATTAAGTGCAGCCACATCTCCGCCGCTATATTAATCACAAAAATGTGAATGTTTAGCGAACGGGTTCTGACTCGTATACTTGCATGAACGTGGCGTACTCATTCATATCGATGTGGATGGTTGAAATCATCAATCAGTGATCAACTGAGGCAGAGCTGACTCGTTGAAGCTTCATAGATAAGTGGACTTCAAGATAAAACGCTCTCCTTTGAGCTGCGATCTGCTCTCCGGCGAGGATGTTTAGGCATGCGGTCCTTAGGTAACTTATGGATATTCTACCACCGTCTTCAGTGGCATATACCATGTTTATTCGGACTACGCCTCAGATGCATCTACCACAGTCTCTCGAGGACGTGATTTTCAATAACATCACAACTCACATGTATTAAGCCGGCAATACAAAACAACAGTAACGCCAGAAGAATAAGGGATCAGAGCCCTAAACACGGTGGCTCGATGGACGCAAGTTCCTTTGGCCTGCCAAACTCCTCTCTTGGTTGGCAACGTTGCGCCTCGAGCTATCGTGGTGCCATCGGAAAAGAGTACGGGAACGAAGTCAGCACACGCTATCACAAGCAATATTAAGAGAAATGCAAAAGACTGGATAAAGAATAAGTAGAGGCGACGTACCAGTTACATAGAAATATGACTACTATTTGCAGGTAATGCGCGCACGGTATAGGGACTTTTTTTGCGAAATCCTTTAGCATGTTCGAACTGATCGATTTTTGAAAAAAGTCATGCATTTTGTAAAGTCTTTTTTATTTTGTCCATTTTTCGCCACTTTGTCGCAGGGCTGTCAAATTTGCTCGAAAGACAACGAGTCAGTCACAAATGTTATCTAGTCACCTCTTGAAACCCTTCTTCATTCATAAGTAACGCCGTTCATGCGGCCTGCGAGAGAGTGGCACAAACAATAATCTGGGGAAGTTGGAAGTGCGGAAGCTGCTGAACTACAATCTGATTCACTCTTGCAGAACATTTTCGACGACGATTGTCGCATGAGGTTGTGTTTTGTCATGCAGAAGAATTCGCTTGATTCTGCTTATTGATTGTAGTTCGGCTTCGTTTAGGCGGTGCATTTGTGTAGCACAGAGGTGATAGTCGACTGTCTTGTCCTTGTCAGCAAATTCCAATGTCGATTTTCACAATCATCATCAGAACCCAATCACCATTTTGATGAAGACCCTATATCAACCTTTAGTGCTAACGTTTTTCATCAAACAATTTATTAGATTTTTTCTCAAACGGAAACACAAAGACAATTCTTGCTAACATTATAGGTTTTTGCAAACAACTTTTTAGTAAGCAGGTGCTGAAGTTGCTCCTTTTGCTATTTGCAAACTCCGTTTAGGGGCTGAATCAAAAGAAAACAGCTTCATACACGTTATTTTCAGCTTCAATTTTCAGAAATTCTCGTTTTTTTGGTAAGCTACTCTTTTTCTATTATAACGGATTTCACTCCAGATCCCATATGCAATTTGATAGTAATATTGATAGTAGACATCTTTTAGACCATTTGGATAGATTTTGCTTAACCGTTGATTTGAAGAGATCAGGGAAGACAACTACAACGACAAGTCTTTTATGCTTTTGATATTAGTATTAGTAGATTGCTGATTGTCGCTACTGGAAACACAAGCAAGCAAAGGACTCGGAACTCCACGTTCACCCTGAGATCCAATCGATGAAAGCATCTGTAACATGCGGAAATAATATCTTCCGTTTTCTACAAGCGAACTAGCCTTTTGTACGAACGACACATTTTGAATTTTGGCGAGTGGCATGCTTTAGACAGAATAATGACCATCGATATAGCAATAGTCAACAACAGCAAATTGACCATGATGTACACTGCTAAAAGGTTTTGATCAATAAAGAACATACGCGAAATATTGCAGTCTTTGAATTTGCTACGCACATAAGGAAGGCAGCTCATTAGTCTTCGGTATATCCTGTCCGGCGATCTGAAGGACTGTGCACATCGCAAGAATGGCCGAAAGTCCGCATCCGATCAGGAATAAAAACTGTTCTTAGTTATGTCATCGTGGAATGTGATGACTTACTTTTGCAAGGTAATCGGCTTGATCAAATTTTGACCAAAACATTCCAAGTACGCAGAGGTTTGTAAGTGCGAATGAAGGTACTATTATAGTAATAACGTAGCTTAAGAAATAGCGTCGGATTCGCAACGTGAACGTGACCTGTGCAACAAAGACGACTTGTCAATACACTGCGTGCTGAGAATTTATCACCCTCACCACGTCGTGATCGAAGTCCCTTGTGCTACCTGGATAAATGAGCGATTCAGATGCAACGCCATCAACAATCCATTCGTTATTACTCTGAAATTTTCATCCTTTTTCAAATCTGAATATTCTTGACTTTTTGACAGGCAGAAGTGCATAGCACAAAGACAGAAATGCAGATGTCATTGAGCTTTGATTCTTCATGAAAGATAGAAATCGTCTGTTACGACCATCTCCCACTTTAACTAAGGATATAATGCGGAGAAATTTTTTTGCAAAAAAAAAACAGCAGGCCAGGGGAAATTGGGCCCGTAGCAAACTCCCGTTAGATCAGGTGAAATCATTTTCGGTCAAGTCGCTGAGCCCTTGAAGTCATTTTCGTCAGCTGAAAATACGACCGCTCACATTCTCATGTTTCAAAAAGGCTACCTGGTTTTGCAGTAGACCGTCCGTACGTAAGATAAGACTGAGTTGGAAGGTCAGCTGCTGTAGATAGTAAAGACTACAGCAAGGCGAAGGTTCACAGGCGGTATTAGCTGAGCGGGCGTGTATCTTCACACAGTAAACCTGCGCTTCAAGCGCTCTGCGGATAACAAAGCCGCGAGCCCAAAGGTATTGCGACTTCGTCGTACTGCAGCCTATATGTTGAAGCGGAAAACTACAGAAAATCCCGTAAGTTGCTTGTGGCTTACGACATACGTGAGGCATAATACTAAGGACGACTAGCGAAACGTCACAATTTCCGGGGGCCTGCGGATGGAAAGAATCGATGAACAGTTGATCCACAGCCATAGAAAATAGTTTTTCATCCACTCTTATCTGCAGAGGACACTTTATTTCTGGGAGGTAGCTTAACATGTTGACGAAAAGCCGCACAATTGCGCGTCAGGCAGTTGTCCCTGCGAACGATGCCATGCAATGGTGCGCGGCACCCTAATATCAATTTCAACATGCCCAATTGTTCTAACTTGTGTTCATAAAATCATTTAGGTTCAGGAGTACTTTATGTTAACTTTACCCTCTTTTGGCAAACTCTGCCCACTCCGTTGCTTCGCATAAGAAACTTTTTTGCGCTTAAAGCGCATAGAAGCTGTCACAGATGACCTGGAGGACCTAGGCAAGAGTAGTGAGGGAAGATCGTGTGATATAGTTAGAAAATGATTAGAAAATCAAATTAACCTCAAACACTTTCTTCCTACTTTCTAGATTATGAGAATAATTTACACTTAAATAACCAAACATTGCAAGTTGAGCTCCGCAGGATTTTTGGATAAAGATCTAATTTTTGTGTGAATAAATTCAAGATTTTGCTTCCAAACACGCCGTAGGTAGCACTTTTTGCAATTATGCAGATGTCTTCTTATAGAGCATTCTTTCTCCCATCTAACGATGTGTTTGCTACGTATATCTACTCGCGTAAGAAACGGGCATAGTTTCTGGACAATGTGAGATGCGCATATTAACAAGCGCTTTGACAAGTAGATTACTTCTTTAGGAGCTATGCAAATGAAGCAATTTTCGAAAGGTTATACACCAAAAAACTGTCATCAATGAAATAAGGCTTTGAAGCTGCAACACTTACAATAGAAAAGCTGATGAAGTTCTTCTTTATGTTGCTGTTCAGCCGAAGTTCGCGATGTGACAATGTATCATGCGCCAACTTTAAGGAACACCTTTGTTTATCAAAGGGAAAGTCTCTAACCTAAACTTAGGTTCTACAGTCGAGTAGATTTTCCTCTTAATATAGTGTGCTTGCACTGAAGGTGAAATGCGGTAAAATTTGGACGTGAACAAGTAGCCACGCAAGTAATGCGGGTGGAGGACATTAGGTCGCCGAAAAAGGGCGGTCCCCGCGGTCATTTGCGACAAATACGCACCCTTGTACATGCGCGGACATGCGTTCCTGCAGGGAATCCACGCGGGACTCCTCCAAATTCGGCGACCTAATGTCCTCCACCCAAGTAATGCCAACAGTTTGCGCGCAAATGGCCGGCGTCATAGTCGTAGCTATTTCTTTGAGCGCAAATTTTACCGCATTTCACCTTTGGTGCAAGCACATTATATCAAAGGCACAGTCCACCCAAAGTGGGAGTTCACGAGATTCGATGGCATACTAATGTGGTCCCCGCACTAGGCCAACCCCCTAGTTTCCTTGCAAAAGATTGCTTCCGAAGCGAGAAATCCGCACCGAAAGGTAAGCAATCCAGAGCTGGTCACTCCGCTCATTTTGCAGGTTTGGCGGGCTGCGGCGCTGATATACGCCAGGCCTATAACGCGCTGCAGCCCTACGACCTGCACTTCCACCCGCCCCGCTTTTTCTCCAAAATAGGGACTTTTTGGGGCTTTCGGAGATTCTCGACTTCATATTCGAAATCAGGGCCTTCTGAAGGCCCTGAAGCGACAAAAACATGGAAGTCGAGAATTTGAGTGGACGGTGCCTTCAAAGGCAGTGGATCAGCAGAATGGACCCTTATCGATTTGTGGTGGATTTAGGTAGTAGACTCCCCAAGTACACCGCAGCCCAGACCCCACCTTCCACTTCATGCGCTGAATCCTGAATCGCGCTTCAAACTTCCACCAATGACGCCCACTTAAAGGCAGTGTCCGGGCAGAAACTCGACTTCTAAAAAATCAACTTATCTGGGGTTATCCGCAACGCTGAATCCGAAAATCCACATCAGAAGGCGCGAAAACGGCGAGAACATGCATTTTCCGAGTCCTCACATTTCGAAATTTGGGGATCCCCGCCAGGCTAAGACGCAGAGGTTGCAAAGAGCGCACGGTTTTTAACTGTGGCGGCATACGTACTCTGCCGTCTGGCAGGAATTCAAACAATTCGGAGGACCCCGCCCTAAGGCGTAAGTTTCCCCAATTTGCAATAGTTTTTCTTGCTTTAGGTCGAGCGTTTTATGCTCGCAGTTGCGCGATGTTGTGTCTCAGGGGGGCTACTTTCACATGGCAGAGAAATCTCAGAACCCCCATTTTGCCCGGACACTGCCTTTAATGGAAATGGGCGGGGCTAGTGGAGTTTTGAAGCGCATTTTTCAGGACTTACGGGGGAAGGATACTTGGTGACCGTGGCCTTTTGCAATGAGATATATACCAGTAGGTTCGTCTTGGAACGCTGATTCTAAATCTATGCTCATTATCTGCTGTGCGACCTCCTGAACAAAGTTATGGACTTTTTTTCATTCTGATTTTAGATTTAGGCAGTCAAAATCGTCAGTATCCAGGCTTTTTAGACTCTGATGTATCGGTAACATTTTTCCTGAGCTTAACGTGAAGCTTAACTTTGTTTGTACGCTTTTTTATAGTGCGTAAGCGAACACTTTAACGATACTGGTGAATCCTGCAGCAAAAACGGTGCAAATTTTGGTGACAAAAAATGTTCATAACTTCTTTTGGAAGAGCGCGCAGCAGATAATGAAAACAGATTTGGAACCAGCGCTTCAAGTTGCATTTAATGGTGTACGTTTCGTTTCAAAAGGCCACGGTCACCAAGTATCCTTTCCTTGTTAGCGCATGAATTGGCAGGTGGGGTTTGGGCTACAGTGTACTTGAGGGTCTACTACCTGAATCCACCAAAATCCGAGAAGGGCCCATTCTGCTGATCCACTGCCTTCAAGCAGACTACTTGACTGTATCATGATATGAGCGACGTATGTTAGTGATCGTCACTTGCATTCATCAAACACAGAAATGAAACACGGTTGAACACAGTCGCATTGACGTCTCCATTGCTGTGCACCTGCAAAGAACTTTTGAGAAGAACTAAATAGAGATCAACGACCCACGTATAGCATCGAAGTGATTTCTTCATTCGCTCCTCCGCTGCAGACAGCAACATTAAAGATGAAAGCAAACTGCGATGAGTATCGCAAACCTGTTCATCACGTTAATGCCTGGTATCCATATGAGTTTTTGATTAATATAGAATCCTTCGATTTCACCGAATTCGGATGGAATCCATGTGTCGTTCATCATTCCAATCCTAGAACTTTCACTTTTTGTATCCGTTCAATGCTTTATATCATTCATGCTGTGACCATGAGACGCGAGACCGCATTGCGCACATTGTCTCTTGGGAAACATGGAAGAACAACTCAAGCTTGTCATGACAATGTCCGCAAGGCGGTTTCGCGTCTCCTAGTCGTAGAGTAGATGCTGAAAAAAACTTCCCAAGTTGTACAGTAGAGTCATATCGATTGTTTGAAGCGCCTCATTCTAGAAATGTACACGTTTTGAATTCTCAACTTCTGCTCGTGGGGTAACTTACGACGGATAGTAGCTTAGCACTCAAAAATGTGAGATTTACAGCGATAGGTTTTATGACCGGTTGAAGATTATCTGGAATTTGGTTCTTTTCATTTGTATGGAAAATAATCAGTCACACTTTATACACAAACTGAATGTCTGTTTTTCTGTCTGTCTGCATATATGTAACCTTTAAATCAACTGGATTGGCGTCTGAAAGGCAGGGCTTCGTGACCTAACTGAGGCCGCTCACGCCCGCGATGCACTCTGCGTCTCCTCGCGCAGGCGCCCTCTGATCATTTTCTATCCTTAACTAGGTCACTATGCCCCGCTACCAGTCGCCAATCTATTTGAATCAAAGGTAAGTACTTATATTCTAAGTAAAAATTCCTCTTCTAATCAGTTCGGATGAAGTATCATACAGCCCCGAGACGGGGTAGTTGTAGGCTACCTTCTTTTGTTGATATCAATCTTGAGTAATTTTCGCAATCTTTATGTTACGGTGCTGCGAGTTGTTTTCATGGCATAATTGAGCATGCTGATTACGAATACAATATTGATCTACAAAGTATCGATAAATTTTATCAATTTTACCATTTTTTGCAAGGTATGAGTTAAGGGCTGGTAGTTGGTACAGAGGGTAAGTGAGTGATTATGAAAACATACCGGGGGCCATCTGGCATATAATAGTGGGCCAGAAGAACGTTTTATAGAAGAGGAGACTTTGCATAGGGTACTTGTTCGAGCGAAACCGACTAGTGAGGAAAAGTGATGTTTTTACCGCTTTCTGCTCCGCCTCCCACCGACAGATAGTTTGGCCGAAACGTTTGCAGCGAAGATTTTTTTCAGCTAAAACAGCGAGAGCATCTACCCTATTTTCAGGTGTATAAGCCGCGGGGTGGTCCTAGCTTACATCGACCAGCTCGAACACATCAAAGGACCTCGCAACCAAAGGACCCTACACCGTGCTACGTATTGCCTGAAAGAATCGTGCGGCATAAGGATCGCTTCTCGAAACACAATGAAGCGGTTGAGCAGCTTGTGGGAAAATTTGAAAAAGTGCTGCTTATACACCTGAAAATAGGGTACATATGTGTTTCTTCCGCTTACATATTTTTATGGACATTACATTTTATTGTTGCTTGAAATTCGATTAAAGTGCTCAGAATCCTAAAAAGATGTTTTGATAATATCGTAGTCTCCCATCGCCAAGCCCTCTTTACATGTACAAATTCGAATTGTCTAGAAAATGGACGAATGAAAGCAAAAATCCACCCACCGAATGTATTAACTTTAAAGCAGCTCTTGTTTTAGAATCTGCCCTCGATTGGATGCGATTTCGAAATGAGACTGTGAAGGTTGAGCCAGACTGCGCGGCGTAAGAGGCACGCAGCGTACGCCGCTTACGCTTTTATGATGAAATATACGGACCGCACGCTGCGTACGTAGGCCGCGCACTCTGTTTCAACCCTGAGGGTTGTTTCATACTGCAGTCGTTGCAGTAACTCCAGTTACTGAGGCGGCAAAAGATATCGATCGATCGACTGTCAGCTGCAGCGACTGTAATATGAAAACAACCCTATGACGCTGCTTAAGTACGTGCAGACATAATTAAAGTGTATAACACAGGATACGGCATTTTACTGGTGATAGACAATTGCTCAATCTTATCGTTCATTTTTCAATCAATTCAAGTGTACTGAACACCTCTAAGCTCTTCGATCGGATATCTATAATCATTAAAGGCCATGATAGTGCCCTTGATATTGTGATCATACAATGTGTCCTAGCCCACGTTTACGTAGTTGACTCGCTATGTTGACTTTTCTTCCAGCTAAGTGCTATTTATCCTTGAACTTGGTGGCCGAAGGCAGTTAACACATTCTATATATTTGGTGAACATTTCTGGCCATCTCTGGCTGTGAGGGCACACTACCCATTCTTCTAATAGGAGTTCAGTTATATAGTCTGTTACGGATTGACTGCCATTCACGTATCCAGTAGAGTGTTCAAACTTCATTTTCTGTTTTTATATCAAACATTGTTCAATGCCGGCAGTGATCCATTCGGAAGTGAAAGACATTTACAGAGTTATTCCGTCATAAAACCATTCACTCGTGTTTGCCGAATAATTCTCCAAGTTCAACGACACAAGGGGCTTTTGGATAGCACAGTTGCTCAGTATATTTGCAATACGACTGCTAATCTTAGCCCGATTGCCAGCTCTCTGTGCGATAGTTTTTGGAAAGCATAAGAATATTGTACGATTATCTTTATGATGCGCACCTTGTTGAAGCTGCACATCAACCTCGCAGTACATCTAAGAGAGTCCAGCTTCTCAGATAATGCTTGCGAAGTGATCTTACACTTGTTACACGAGGATGACATACTCAGACGCTCTGTTCTGGTCAGTTTTCAGTTAGAGAACATTTTTCGCCAAAAGAAGTAGCAAGAGAGGCTTAGGAAGTTGATCTTTCAATGCCAAATTTAAGTTGCTCGTTTGTCACTTGATCTATGTTTTTTTTTGTAAAACTAATTGTATTGGTATCTTGCTATTCAATCACTTTCAGTTTATCTTGAAGGCATGGCGCAAGCATAGAAGGGACATTGCGAAAGTGAGTAAAGAGACGCAGCATTAGCACTAATTATTGACTATAATAACTGGCGAGCTGGGCGGAGCCAGTTATTATAGTCAATAATTAGTGCTAATGGCTCTGCCAAAACGCTATGATAAGGGTGAGGGTCCATCCCTATCTCTGTACGACCTTTCCCTATGCCCAATTCTAAGGGCCACTGGCCCGTAAAAGCTCGTAGCTCATGAACTGAACTTAATCCATCAGTTGAGCTTACGTCAGATGAAATGATGAACGCCCAACTTCCCATGCTGTAAGCATGCCAAGTGATTGACAGTTGGGCATCCATCCACCTGCTGTAGTCAACTATTGCACATCACTTCACGTTCAGTTGAGCTGAACGTGAACTGATGTTAGACGAATGCAAATAGTGTGGGAAGAGGAGACGCAGAGAAGACTCCCGTAAGTCACTCCTGAGTTTTGCCTAGCACTGCAGACAAAATCGGCGCAAAACTGCACAACCGGGCCCCAAAAGGAGAGGATCGATGACTGATTTTGCCGAGGAAAAGAACTCCCCTCTTTTTTAAAAACTGCTGATTTTTTTTTTTGAAAAGCTGCTCAAAACGAGAAGTCATTTATTCATTTCATTAAATTCACGTTGCAATCATTTCATCTTATATATAAAGCTGAATGTCCGTTTGTATGTCTATCTGTCTGTCTGTCTGTCTACTAGGCTAGGCTACTACTATAGGCTACTTTTCGTCATCGATCGATATCGATTTTATCGATTTTTTGCAAAATTTGAGCTAGGGGGCTGGAATTTGGCAGAGGGGTGTAATCGAGCATGCTTATCACCCCACGGGGGCGATCAGCATGCTCGATTACCCCCCTGTGCCAACTCCCAGCCCCCCAGCTCAAATTTTGCAAAAAATCGATAAAATCGATATCGATCGATGACGAAAAGTGGACTGTGACACCCGCCGGGGCCCGAAGTGTATGTGTGCCAAGTTTGGTCCGGATCGGTTAAGAAATGGAATTTTCTGTTCGGAACATACGGCGGAGCCGGGTAAGCCAGCTAGTTTTCTCATAAAATTTTCGTCACAAAATGTATTTTTGTTTTATCCATGCATTTGCTGGGCGGAATCCTTGATAGCGGTCATCATCGATTTTGCGATAGTGGCCGCTCAAAGATTGACTGGCGATGCAGCAAAAGGTGTTCGCTGGAAGGTGTCGAACCACGACCGTGCACGTGTAATTCCAATCGCTTACCCGTTCGACCAAACCGCAGTAAAGATCAAATAGTCACTGTCATAAGTTTGCTTTCAAATGAGATCGTGCCTATACTCTACTATTTCTCGGTTGCAGAGATAAATATGGAGAAAGGAGACAGGAAAAGGAGAATTGAGCAAAGTTTGCGCTTTTCGGGCTCTTCTTTAAGAAGTAGTAATTTTCGAAAGTGCAAAGAAATCAATCTCATAGGAAAATCGATTTTGGCATTTTTTCTCGAAAATCATAATTTTTCGAAAAAAGAGCCCAATCAACCAAGATTATCGTGACAAGAAAAGCTAATGTTTTTTGAAAACGACAGGTTTAAGCTAATATTAGATTGTCTCATATTTAATGCACGTCTATTCAACCTCTTTTTGAGAGAGCTAATTTTCAAAGAAAAAACATTTTTCTTTAAAGCCTTTTATAGTTTCGAAAAGCCCGATTCTTCTAGTTTCTAACATGTACCTTCGTTTTCGCAAATCTCTGTTGAAGCCGAAGTTTCATGCCCAGGACTGTATAAATTTCACGATGTACACGTAGAGTAGACCTAGTACAACTAATGCTAGAAAAAACGCAGCATTTTATCGTCTTTTCGAAAAGAAAAAATTTAAAAAATCCCATAAAGGCAGTTTTTTTGGATCTTCCAAAATATTGAAAAAAATGGGTACTTCCAGTTTTTTTGCAAAATTTTCTCACATAAATATGCCGTAAAATTCAAACTTCACTTCACTGCACAGCCGACCATAGGCTATACAATGAGCAGAGTCCGCGCGATCCTAGTACATTTGAGCGAAAGTTAAGCTCTCTCAAATTATAGGTTTTTAAAAAAATGTTCGGGAAATTATTAAGCTATAAAATCTTTCTTAAAGTGGCTGCGATCCAACAAAA